TCTCAGTTCGTCGGTATCTTTTTTTCAAGTATGTTCACCGATTGCTCAAAGACCCTGAACCTATATCGTTTTTTTTTTTGTTTTCAAGAGTATACATCCCAAGTGGTCCCATTTTAATATATTATAACAACAATTCAAGGCTTGGCTAAAGATTGACCAACACAAAGAAGAGATCCTTAGATCAGACGAAGGAATAATAATAATCTAGACACATCTCACACACTGCCGTCTGTTCTCAAATTAAATCGCTGATAAACAGTCTTAAATGTTTAAACATATTATAGGTAGATGTCCGTGTAGTGACGGATTAAGAATACGGAATGTCAATACCCCGATTCAACAAGTAGGTGTCATAAGAGCCGCCCTAAGGGCGCAAAACAACGCAGGACACCAGCACTGCAAAAAGAAGGAAAACTTGACACAAACCCTATACCAACCCGTCTAGCCAGCGTCGGAGAGGCCTATGTCCAGTAGTGGACTATAAAAGGCTGTTAATGTGATGTGATGATGATAGATAGACAACATTCAGGCACAAAACAAGATGATAGTGTTCATTAAATAATAGTTTTTCAGGGTAAGAATCGAACTCAAGACCCGGATCAAACTCCACTATCCAGTAAAACGAACTATGTTTGTCCGTCTGTGGTCTAATGATTTATATTAGCAGGTTGTGTATGTGTATTCTTCTACCGGTTATGGCTAACCCCTTCACCCCCTATTGTACACCCTTTAAATATTTGTTTTCGCTTTTTTTTCTTTGAGACAGACCGCCTCGGTGGTGCAGTGGTAGCGTATGCGACTGATGTGCTGCGGTATCAGGTTTGATTCCCGGGTCGGACCAACTGTTTGTATGATCTGCACATATTTGTTTCAAAAAAAGTATATAAGTATTCCATCAGTCAATCGAGCTAAGTTTGTAACTAGATGGCATTGTGTATCAGATGTCGGAATATTATATTATTATTATAACTTTCGCATGTATAGTATTCAATATGTTTAAAAATAAATTATTGACTTTATGCAGATAACAAGACTTCCTGCTGTTATCTTTGCGATAACAGCTTGACATAAGCTATATGAAGAATTACTGTAATAGAACTATACTTATCTGCATACTTCGCATTTTTTCATAATATGTGAATCACAAATTTAATCACACATGCTTTTTGATCACTAGTGTAGGTACAGACATATTCTAAACTGTAATGCAGATAGCAGAAGATAGAATGCAGTCGTGATTTGTGTCTTCGAATTATTTTAAGTATGAACGAATAAATAATGTATATTTATTACTCTTTCACATAAATGTTTGGTAATATATATTTGTAAATATATATTAGAATACTCGTACATTGATAACTTACGTGAGACGGTTCGGATTTCTCGTTAACAACTAAACGTCTCGACTGCATGGATGACGTAGTGGTTTAAGCGGTCACCTCACCGCTTCCTACTGCGCTGAGTGTTGTAGGACCAATCCCCTCATGGGACAACACTTTGTCTGTGAGTCTGGGTGTCCTTTGAGTCCGTTTCATGAATGTTTGTAAATTTCCCCGCGACACAGGTGCGGGGGTTGTCTTTTAAATAAAAAAAAGAAAAGCTGTATATATATAAAAATTATGTTTACTGTATTTTCTACATGTATACGACCTTCACCTATCTGAGTTAAAACTGCCAAATACACATGTATAAGCACTAGCACTATCATATTTCATCCACAGCTTTCCATTTTATCAATAATTTTCTTTTTTAGCATTCTTCTAACTTTCCCATTAAATTCTCATAGCAACCAGGGCCTCAATTCTGCCATTTTATGTTAATGTACAAGCTACTGTCATTCCATGAGCACGCTATTGAGATGCCATTGTCATCGGTCAAAATGTCGCTATTCTACTAACATGAATTCACAGTGTCTTAGACTGTCGATGTAGTGACAATGGCTCGTCAATGGCGATATTAACAACACTGGAATATCTGGAAAATTTAATATATGATTTCCTTACAAATTAAAATAGTACTGTTTATCAAACTATTACAAAGACATTTTATTAGTGATAAGTCATCGGGCATTGGTCTTACATAGTTAGTAGAATACGAAAAGTGCAAAACTATTCCGGCGACAGTTCATCGACAGTATATCGATACAATATTAAAAAAACATAGTTGAGGCCCTAGTTGACGATAATAAGTCCAAGTTATGGTGCCAAATAAAGGCTTTCATTACGCCGCTGCTCATAAGCAGCGAAGGCTAAGTTAAGCATATATTTAAGTGTATGAAAATGTCCAGTAAGTCGGATACTTTTGCCATCTCAGTGACATCTCGGCGTGTTCTGTATAAATAAGAAAGAGCTCTTACAAAAGTTCTTAAAATACATTTTATGTTAAACTTCTAACTAAACGCATGCGGATTAGCGGTCTTCAACTATTATATTATTATATATATCAAATATATAAATCAAAATCATTATGTTTGATTTTGGGAAATTCCTTGAATAAGCGTATCAGTGACTGCTTAGTCACTGAAATCGCAAACCTCATACCTACGAATACTATTATGAGGAAATGAATAGTATAGTCTAAACAATCTAAGAAGTACATTTTGACAGGTGGAACTGACGTTCTGTAACTAGAGAACGCAACTACGTACGATTTAAACGAAACATAAAACAACAACAATTTAAAAAATATTGGTTCCTAATTTAAAAAATGCGACCGTAGAAAAATATTAATGGACAGATTCGACCTGAAACTACAAAAGTGCCTATTGGGAAAGGTGGCCAATTAATTTTTTGTCATGCTATATATGCAGTAGGTTGGAACTAAAAATTTAAAATATTACCATTCACACAAATAAATCTATTCACATTTCGAAATCTTAACAAATTCTGTTAGGTCAGGATATTGTTTTGCGTTTGCTGGCCATTTTACTGATTCAGGTTTATACCCGCGAAAGGTGCGCAGTGTTGCCGAATATTCGGCGCTTCGGCCAAGAGACTCGCCGAATATTCGTTATTCGGCCAAATCACCATTCGTGCCATCTCTAGTAAAGTTGGAGATTTGTATGAAAATTTTAAAATACCTATAAAAAAAAAAGTTTTTTTTTATTTAAGTAATCAAAGTACCGGCCCTAAATTATCTATACAATTTTGCCATTTTGATGGCAGTTTGTTTATCCACTCTCAGCAAAGAGTATTTGAATTGAATGACTAACTCCATATTAAGGAGAACAAAAACGCTAGCCAATGCTAGTATGTAAAAAATATTTTTACAAATATAATACTACAGAAAACTGTATGCATTGAGTATTTCAATTCCAATTTCACGCATTTTTGACTCTAAATAATTAACATGGCTGTGAAATCGTAAAAATAAAATTCGAATATAGCACCTTTAATTATTCAGCAATTTATATTTTATGGAAGTCAACGTGAACGTCAACGTATTTTATTTTATCAACGTGATTGTATTTAAAATACATAATATGTTTACTAAAAATTACCTTCTATACCTATTCCCTTTTAGTAATATCATCGAAGGTCTGCACACAATATTTCCTTATTCGATTCCATTCTTTTTATTCGTTATTTCACTTCTTTTGTGGCTTTAGTTTTATCTCATCCATCTGTTTTTCATTCATCAGTTCATCATACATCACATCAACAGCCTTTAATAGTCTACTGCTGGACATACGCCTCTCCTTAGAAAGGAGGTTTTGGCCTACTATACCACGCTGGCAGATATTTACCGGCGGGTGGGTATAAGGTTTGCTTTTTAGGGTTGCTTTTTTGCTTAAGTTTTCCTTCTTCTTGAATTGCTGTTATCCATTATAGTTGGCTCCCTTAGTCGGCTCTTACGACACCCACGGGATGAATAGAGTGGTAACACTTCGTACTCTAAACCCGTGACACGTCACGCGGATAATCTTTTTTTCATGGGTCGTCTTGAATCCATCAACTTCCTAAAACTTTCTTCACCACATTTTCTTTAAATTTTGCACCCATTCTATGTCACCATTGAATTGTATAAGAGATGATCAGAAATTTGTTTTAACTAAAAGTTTTTCTTTTAAAACTCTATATTTTAAAACTCTAGATATATATAACTCTATATCGGCACGTCCCTGTCACCGCAGGTGTCTTTGCAAGATAAATGGTTCAGAAATGTAATTTGCTCGGCTTACATAAAGCCCTAGCTTCGGTTTTTCATGAAGGTAAATAATTTAGATAAACCAAATGTTTAACACGTATGCACGCACTCGCTTGCACATTCAACGTTTTAAATATTTTGAAAAATTCGTGGTTAAAGGCAATTCACAAGTATAAAAATCCCCTCGAATCTCTGGGACTTATGGGAAAGGATTTTAAAAATAAAAATCTAATGACTGATCTGGATGTTCCGTGTATGACAATCGGCATGAGAACTATAATTGCGTGATGCAGGAACAGATCATATTTAACGAAGTTTGTTTCATGTCTGATGTTTGATGATCTTTGATCAGCAGTATGTGTCACCACTAAACTTTTTTTATTTTTATTACTAAGGCTGTTTATGGAATATTCAGATTTATTCGAATTAGAAGATAATAAAAAAGCAGGTCCATTAAAGTTTATACGCTGTCTATTAAGAGTGCTGAGAGTAGAAAAGTCACATCTTAAAAAAAGTGTGAGAAAGAAAACTATATCCATATAAAAAATAATATATGGTTCATCAGGTTGCTTACAAAAAGCATGCAAAGCAGTAAAATATGATCTCAAGAACGACATTTCACTTGTTATTAATCGTGTTTTGTCTCAATCAACAATTACAAGATTTTTTCAAAAAAATATGTTAATAATGTCATAAAAACATAAAAATGAATACATTTTTGAGTTTGTATAGGAATGTTCAATGTTATGCAATGGTTAAAGTCGTTGTCTTGCCACCATAAAATGACAAGTCTGGTAATTGCTAGTATGTTTACCAATCTTTAATATACTCTGTAACTGAATCTTTTCTTCCAGACCCAGAACGTGGTTCGAACATGGATGAAAATCTGCATCCTCTGTTGGGCATGGATAGTGGCAGCGAAGCAAGCCTTCGACCCCTTCGTCCAAGAAACTTGTAAGTAACATCTATTTAATGGATTTTTTAAAATCCTTTTTTTTTGTATTGGGAGAAATCGAGCGTGGACCGTCTTCCACCTGATGATCAGAAACATCCACTATTCATGAAATCTGTTACTCAAGAATTAGAAGTGTCCGGCGAGAATTAAGGGGGGGTAAGCCTTCAGTGACCTCAAACTCCGTGAAATGCGACAAAACAATTATAGTATTTTGTTAGTTTTAATTACCTTTCTCATCTGGTACCTGCCCAGGTGTCACAGAGCGAACTCCACAAGCACGCAGGAATTAAAAGTACATGAGGCACTACTCAGGTCCTAAGGCTTTATCTCTGTGAAAATAAGTTACGTCATAAGGCTCTGGAATCTTGGACTAAATTGTTTATCACCAGCTTTCTGTCAGGCTCTTTCGTGATATTACTCCATTCGAACAGGGCGCCTTGCCAAAAATACACTACCATTTTTTCAAACGTTATTTTATAGATTACCATCACTATCGTGTCTAAACTATGCCTATGCTGTTTACGATCCTGCGATACCTGATATGCGGTACTACTTCTCGTACGAAAAGGAAGTGTTTCCTTTTAAGTACCCAAAAAAGTTTTCAAATACACTATCCATTTCGATTGGGCATCCAATATTGAACACAGACAGCAGTATCGTCCCACACGCCTCTTTAAACTAACATTACAAATTTTCAGGCAGCTCAATCGCAACCAACTTCCCATGCTGACGATTCATGACATAACTCCATCATCAGTATCGTCGACTGTGAACAGCACACCTATGTTGGATCCAGACGGCAATAACCCCAGGCCCTGGCGACGTGGAGATCGTCGTCTACAGAGACTGAACACGGAACTCCTAGAAGCTATTGAAGAACATGATATGGAAGAGGTGGAAAAGTGAGCATATATTTATATTAATATAGGTTTTTAATGTTAAAATGGTTAATTTAGGCCAAACAATAAAGTCTTCTATCTAAAATAACTCTGGTTCAGTGACGAAATTCAGATGGGAGAGGTAAACTCTTACATATATACCCCAAGCCTATATCCCCATTTTACCGACAATATTTTTAGTCCCATTTACTTATCTCCTATCAAACCTATTGCCATTAACCCAGCATACGGGAAAAGTAGGTTAGAAGAGAAATAATTATAAAGAAGGGAATATTGATGTCGGTATGGTGACGGATTTAAAATACAGAGTATCACCACCCCTATTCATTCCGTGTGTGTCATTAGAGCCGACTAAGGGAGCAAACTACGCAGGACAACAGCACTGAAAAGAGATGGTAAACTTGAAACACACTATACCAACCCGTTTAGCCTGCGTGGTAAAGCCTACTATAGGTTAGGTCCTTTCTAAGGAGACGCCTATGTCCAGCAGTGAACTGGTAAAGGCTGTTGATGATAATGATATCGATTTATATGGAAGGTTAAGGGAAAATGTAGCACTCTCAAAGTTTGAGCCCGTCGGGGTTGCATACCTGTAGCTCGAACTGATGCCGATCCGAAGTCCGAGTTCGAATAAACACTCACTCACACAGTGAAAAGCAACAAAAAAAATTTTTACTACCAATTTTTTTCTATCGTTTCTCTATCATATTCGTTTTCGAGGGGAACTGTGGTCTAGTGGTTAATGACCCTGACTGTGTGATGAGCATTTGTTCTGTCTGGGTGCAATTTATCTATAATATGTATATATTAAAAAAATATAAGTATGTTTACAGCAATCTGGTTAATATAGCACAGGGTCTGCCTAGTTTAGGATCAGACGGCTGTGTGTGAGATGTGTGAGGTATGTTATTATTATTATAATCATGTAATAACTAATGTCCATCTCATTCTTACATGCTATTCAATACTTCACAGACTTCTGAATGCCGGTGCTAATCCTAATGCAACATGCCGTGTGGGTCTGGTATCAGCCTGTCACATGGCAGCCCTTATTGGCGGAGAAGCTCTCTCCCTTCTCGTTAAGTTTGGAGCTGAAAAACTCAGAAGTGATCGGCTCGGAAGAACCCCTCTACACTTAGCTGCGTATGCTGGAAATATCAGACAAGTGGCGATACTGTTAGATTTCCCTGAAGGTACGTCAATATACCGATCCTTTTAGATAATATATTAGCAGCTCGTTCCATCTTCACCCGAGATGTATAATTATTATCTGTCTTAAGTATACATTAGGTACAAACGCCTAATCACAATATATGTATTGGACATTTTGAGTGTTTGATCTAATGCGTGTTTTACCTATGGGTCAAACGTTATAGACAACGCATTATATACACCACAACAGTAGAACCGGTCATCACGTATGCGACAGTAGCATATGCTCCCGCTGTCGAGAAGCTGGTTGTCCGCAAGCTCCTCGACACTGTGCAAAGAGGATTCGCTCAGAAGATCTGCAAATCGTACTGTACCGTATCCCTAAACTCGGCCCTACTACTTGCCGAGTTACTACTTCTGGAACGAATGAAAGAAGCAGCCGCTCTCTACGAAGCGCGCAAAGGGTCGACCCGGCTAGTGCTGGGGGACCGGGAGGTTTGAGTGGTTTGATTTGTGGAACTACCGCATCCGGTTCTACGTATGGACTTGAGGTTCCAGAGTCTGGAGGACCAAAGCCTGGTAGACCAACAGAAGATGCAGTTGCGCCGAATTTTCAAAGACGGCAAAAGGGCCAAGTCGGCGCCGCGCTGTCCATATGGGACATCCGGGCCGAAATACGAACACTATAATAATAACGTTAAAAATTACATTGCAATCGTTCCATTAAAAGTTGAAAGGTAGATTATAAATGTGTTATCCTTTGAAGAAAGACAGAACAACACGCGGACTTTTTATACATACTTTTACTACGAACAATTTACCTTGCTTTGGCTTGCTCATTCCCTTTTAATTGAATTTGAAGAATCGCAACACTACGGTAAAATACCTAATCACGTGACTTTAAAACGAAGTCCAAAAATATCCATCAAAACAAATAAATAAAATTGAAGGGTCTGTTTCTAATATCAAAGGTTTTTTTTCATGCTCTCACGGTTATTTGCACGATTCCTAGGCCTAAAAACCACTTTAAATATTTTTTGTCTGTCTTTCTGTCTGTCTGTTTATTTTTTCTGGGTAATACTCAAAACGGATGGACCGATTTTGATAATATTTTACTAGCAGGTAGCTGTTTATATAAGGAGTAACAGGCTATTTTTTCTCTCAGAAAAACCCTATAAAAAAATCCGGTCCGGTAATCGAACAAGTCGTGGGCACAAGCTAGTATTACACATATTGGTTATTTTGCTTTGTTTAAATGATTTAAATTTATTTATTCAGATATTGTACAACTTGTGATAAAATGAAAATAGCTTCATAATTCCGTAGTTTTCGGGATAAGGTTATTGAAATTGTGTCAGCTACGCCTAAATAAAATTGTTTCGGCTTGAAAAATATTAAACGTCAGACAAAAAAATATGTTTATTGCTCTATATATGAGTTAAAAAGATTTAGGTAAAAATAAAATTTGGCTGTGATAAAGAATGTCCATTAAAACTACACATGTTTATTATTTAGCTTGACGTCTCATGACCACGATGAGATGGAACTCATCATCAGGAGCAACAACCGCCTCGGTCTTCTTAGACACCAGCCTCAACACAACGAGTTCGTCAGTAACGTCCTGAAGAAAAAAAAGTCTAAATTTGCACGGTTGTCTTTTTACGTTTATAATAATGCTATGTTTAGAAGACACATACGATTTCTTTGAGAGCGTTAGACGCATGATGAGATAAATTTCTCATGTGAGTTGAATAAGTGGCTGCCGTCAAGCTGTCCAGGGTTGTGGTTTCTGGAAATCCTGAAAAATAAACATGTAACTTCAATATTTCAGTTCCTATTGACGCACTGATAAGTAGCTGTCAGTTTGAGGCCTTGGAGAAATTTGTTGGTTTATGCCAAGAAAGGCTTAAGGTTTTACTCTGCTCGAATTACGCCTTTGCCAATTGGCGTGCAACTTGTCGTATGACGCCTACACTAAACTTTATAATTTAGGTGTCATCCCATAAGCAATTAATCAATGATAATCTTAAAAGATTCGCATACAAATAACATGCTATTCAATCACTAATTAATAAGTAAATCATCTTTATACACTTTTCACAATTGTATTATGGGTAGTTGTAATAAATGTATGTAAAATACGGAGTGTCGTCACCAACCCTATTCATCCCGTGGATGTCGTAAGAGCCGACTTAGGGCAAACAACGCGAGATATCAGCAATGCAAAGAAAAGGTAAACTTAAAACAAACCCTATAGCAACCCGTCTCACCAGCGTGGTGTATTAAGCCAAAATCACTGTTAAAGTCTGTTGATGATTATCATCTCTGTTTGGTGAGTTGTTATCTCTGTCCCAGTAACCTTTCCAATCACAGGCCATTCAGCCATGTACGGGAAGCCGGCTGCCTCGCACTATTGTAGTGTCAGTTTTATTTTCCCACCTTAGATCTGCGGGTTTCTTTGCCCTAGTTCCCCTGTCCTAATCGTTATCTTACTGCAATTAACAATTCTGTTCTGACCCGTCTACAAGTGATTACATTCTCAAGGATTTGCATCAGGTAGGCGGCAAGCCGTGAAACAGTCGTGAACCACAAATAGAATTGGGAAAAAGAAAAGAAAATGACAAATCAAATAGTAACGTTTTTAATCGTTACTTTGCGTTCATGTGGTGCTTTATAGTAAAAACCAATGGTGGTGACACTAGAGCTCCTCATGAATCGAATGGTTACAACTTTAGTGCAATTTCTTACCTTCACGATTGACTATTATAGTTCCAGAAACGCATGCATTTTCATTTATTCGAATCATTGTTTTCGTTGCCCCAGGACCCTAAAAATTGAAGTTAATAATGTGTTAAAATAACCGACGACCGATCTATACCTTATACTCTTGACCAGTATAGACTCATAAGACTTTAGAAATTCATCGTAAACTATGGCTTTTATTACGTTTATTACTTATCCTTAATCCGTAAAGTTTTAATGCTCTTCTTTAAGAACATCTGTTTGCGAGTCAGCAATATACTAGTTTTTATTACTGCTCAAGACATGGAATACACAAAAGCTATACGCACCATATAATTCTGAGCAATCTCCATGATTGATACTTAAAGTCTTAGGATTTCACAGAGTTCGCTTTTAATTCAAATATATTTTTATCAAAAACTTCATCAAGCCGCAGAGCGATTTGTCAATAAGTGTTTTATTTTTCAAGAGTTTGTAAGAGGACAAAATATAATTTATAGCCAGTAAATTATTCCTAATCGAACGATAAAAAGGTATCAAAAAGAAGAATCCATTAGAGTATGTGTACTATGCACAGTAAATAGGCTGTGTATGTAAATCTTTGGCCTTACATATTACTTTCTCCCTCTTATCTTTAAAATGTACCATACACACCTAGTACACACTAGCAATGGCAACATTATTTACTTTATAATTGCAGCAATACTCGCTTTAGCTCTGGCTTCTGTGGTGTTATTAAAATATTAATAAAAAATAAATTTCTTTATTGGCAAAAAATACAAGTAGGTACATAGTAGTAGAAAATCTCGATATTATTATATTCTCGTGTTCATATTGCTTGTTTTCTTGTCTTATTGTATTTTAAAATATAGACAAATGTTTTGAATTTCCCCATCAGATAAGAAAACGATTTAATTATTCTTAAATGCCCATGCTGGTTTACTCAGTTTACTAATATTAGCAAACTACGATTCTTTTCTACTTTCAGTAATAACAATAAGATTCTAGGTACTTAATTGAGTAAACCTTGTCCTGTGAGTTCTAAAACACTAATACTCGTCCATCACCCTAACTAACCTGCAAACTGCTAAAGAAACACCCACTCTATTAATTCTAAACAGACTTATAACCTCTAAATTGCAGTCAATTCTTTGGTTGTGTCAGATTTTTAAATTTATTTGGATTTGTTCATAAACTTCTGTTCTTTTTTATCAGATATGCAAAACAAAATGGGTACAGAAAGTATATCTTCAGAGGCAGAGGAAGATGTAAGAAACTGCTTTACCATCACCAGGGCATTGACGGATGTGCGCTGTGACTTAGGCGAGGTGAATACGGAGCTGCCTAAAACCTGGTGGGACAATATCGATCATGACTGCAAGGACATAAAGGGCAGCGTAAGTTATTTATCTTTAATATAAGGATTTGGAGAAATATTTCACGCTTGAATTGCAGTTATGCATTTTATTACTATCGAATCATATTACCAACGGGTGTTATGTCTTTGCAGCTTATGGGGAACATTAGAATACACCTATTCTGAGTAGTATTTATATTTTTTAAACGCGAAAGGTCGTTTAAATCGTTAATAAAGGTCCTTCAGGGCTGGAACCAGGCGAGAATACCCAAGATACTGACATCAATAAAACCGTACCTGTCTTTTATAAATTTAGGGACGATCCTCCGACCAGACTAGGTAGTCGAACGTGGTCGACGATTGATTTTAATGTAAGTTGTAATGTATAAAAGTCGGCTGGAGGATTTTAATGTGCGATACAGCATAGGTTTTAACAGTGTAGTTCATCTTGAATTTGAATGAATGAAGAATGATTTTACAAATTAGTGACTTGACATGTCTACTAATACATTCAAATTATATTCTACCACATACACACAACGCCATCTAGTCCCAAACTAAGCAGAGCTTGTACTATGGGTACTAGACAACTGATATAAATACATATATACTTTTTTTGTAAATACATACATATTATACATAGAAACACCCAGACCAAATCAAACATTAAATGTTCATGCACACAAATATTTGACTTGAGCGGGAATCGAACCCGCGACCTTTGGAATAGCAGTCCGTTACACAAACCACTACGCCATCCAGTCGTCATTGATTTAGTACAATTTATAACTTTGATATAAGAAAACACTAAGAAATAATTAAGAATGGTAAACTACATGGAAAAATTCTGTTTTACTACATCGCTTGAAGCCTAGATATTTTGTTTTTATTACAATCCGTAGGATCTTCTCCTAATTTTGGACGTTGAAATATTTTGTAAGGATGGTGTCACACATGTATTTCAAGCAACATATTTAGTAAAATTGCTTTTCGAAATCCAATCACATAAACTACACACATTCTAAGAATATGTTACTCATATATTTGCATAAATTAATGAAGTTTGAACATTCAAATACATTTAATGAAAATAAATATTTGTTTTCGTGAATGGCTTTATTCGTAATACCATGAGAGATTCATGGCAATAAATTAATTGTGTTCGTTACTTTGAGTAAACATCTATAATAATATATCTCACACACGGCCAAACTAAGCAGTGCCTGTACTATGGTAACCAGACTGCTGAAAAACATACTTATGGAGTGGGAATCGAACGACGGTATTCCGACTTGTGAAAATATCTGAAAAGACTTACTTGCAGAAATAAATATCATTTATCATTTACGGAGTGTCGCCACCCCTATTCATCCCGTGGATGTCGTAACTATCGACTAAGGGAGCACATTGAGCAGGACTACAGCAGTACAAAGAGAAGAAAAACTTGAAACAAACCCTATCCCAACCCGACTGGCCAACGTGGTATAGCAGGCCAAAACGTCCTTTCTAATGAGAGGCCTATGTCCAGCAGTGGACTACTAAAGGCTGTTGATGATGATGATCAAAAGTTAGTAGTACTTAACACATTAACATATTTAGTATTTCGATAAACCTAATATCGGTCTCTCGTTACACATCGTATGGTTTTTATTAACAAATGTATGAGTTTGGTCAGAATATAATTTAAAGCATTAATTTGAAAAATTATCCGCATATTTTTCGGATTACTGGATTAAAACCGGCTCGTAATTTTGATCCGTTAACTTCAAACATTACATTACACACAAACAAACACAAACATATCAATATGTGATTCGATGTTATGCTTATATTTACACGCAATTATTCATCATTACATATCTTACTGTTACACGATGGAACCCTCACCAGAAGTTGGCCTTCTGGTCAGGGTTCCATCGTGTAATAAAAGTTAAAATAGTAACATTTTACTAAGACTAGCAGATTACCGATTTAATTTTCGGTTACAATACGATATAATCACATTACAGTCAACATTGGATGTTTCATAATTTACTACAAAAATACCTTTTATGACAGTTCTGAGATCGAAAGTTGATCGGAACTGAATTGAGACTGAACTTTTATTAGGAGAATTGGCCTTCTGCTCTAGCACTCAATCCTTACAAAAGATCCTTACCTATCTTTTCCTTGCAACATACTTCTAATTCGACATCTTTTTATATGAATTCAAGATCGAAAAAGGCTTGCCTCTACAGCATTAGTGCGACTAAATAATAGTTGCCAAAACTTATGTACAACATACGCTACTGCCTACTCCTTTTAGTGTACAGGCAGATGTAAATGTATATTTCTATAAATGTAATCTAAACGTATATAATTTGCTCGCTAAAGCAATCGCAAAGTGTGACCCTGCCCTAATTTCGCCCACTCCTCCAGTTAGACCGACATGTTTGATTGATGGCTAGGAAATGTCTACAAAGTCCTGATAGGGATTCTAATGACAGGAGAATATTATCCGTATCAAGTACGGTCAGGTTTCTCTGTAAGATTAAGTGATTTCGTTTTGGTTTATGAAAGCGTTTGAGCGGGTCATAGAGTAACTTTTGGCGTTTTACTTATTTTCGTTGCTCAAATTAAAAGCTTTGAGTACACTAAGTTTATGGTCAAAATTTTACTCAAATCATGACTATGTTACTGTCTGCGTGGTTTATTGTTGCTACTTTAAAAATATGACTTTTGGATGATTATTTTGAAGATAGCAAAGTTTGTATTCTGTACAAGTTTTCTACAGTAACTATAGTCAAATACCGTATTCTAATAATTCCGCTCTAAGGTTTTCCAATTCATTAATGTTAGTGCCATTAATCATTCGACACTGATCATTACCAAAAGATTGATAGCAACAAAATATAAAAAGATGATAAAATAAGAGATTTATCTTCTAGATGCCGCTTTTCCAACCTGGTTGGACACCTCTTCACGTCGCTAGCTCCTGCGCTCGGAAACACTGCACTCGCCTACTCCTAGCTGCTGGGGCTGATCCTAACATAAAAGATTTGGAAGGTCGAACACCACTGGATGTCGCTGGATATGCGTTTTACTATGAAAAAGAGATTATTGAAGATGAGTAAGTTGGACATGTTTCCAATTATGCTGAAAAAATCTTTAACACAAAGCTATCAAAGTCGTTTAAAAATATTTTGATTCGTATTATTTTCTACTTATAGTAGAATATAACATTATTTATTAGGCAACTAAACACAATAAACATATTTACAAAAAAAAACAACTTGATTTTAAACTGACACTTCAAAATCCGCGTAGCCGGGCTGCGCTAGTGACGTCATTCTTGTCTGTTAATAATTTTTCATCGCTTTTAAGTAAATAGAATACTGAATTTAAAATATACTATCCTGATCATCTTTGAATCATCTGAAAAAAGGCTGTGTTGATTCATATTTTGACTCTGCCTTCTATACAAGAAATTAAAACTGTCAATCTTGTTGACACTAACTTTTGACTGATTCCAGGGAGGCTGATTTGATAATAATGATTACAAAATGCAAAGAAAAAATATTTTAAACAAAATAATATTTATTTTATTCCTATAACTTTAAATAAATATGATATGACATGTTTCACATGAATGACGTTACTTGACACTGATTTATTTATTAAAATACATTCGGACTCACGTCATTTCAATTGTGATTCTAATTCTACTTTGTTATAACCTTTTCCTAAATACATATTATTGATTATTAACCTAAAAATACACAACCTCGTTTGCTCCTTGTGCCATAAAACAATAACGATGACAGTTTTCAAGTGATCTCTGGCTTACAGACAAGAGTATCCACTCAGAAGTTGTGCCTTTGATTAAACAAATGAATACCAAGTAGGAACGACTGTAGGAAAGACATTTGTGGCTGCTTAGTAAAGCAGGTATACTAAATTCTTATTGCTTCCAAAGCCAGTCCAGAAAGCAACGACAAGCTTCTCAAGTAGAAATAGCTACAATTCATGGAAACCATAACAGGTTGAAACTCCTCGAGATAAATCCTCATTTGAAATTCACTTTGGGTATATTTGCAATCTTAATGTTTAGCATTTCGAAGTGCTTTAGAACTGATTTGCAATTAATTAAGATTTAGACGAACTCACTGCAAAATTTTTAGTTGGTTAACTTCAAGTATACATGATGAATTGACGTTATTGTCCCAAATATTATATTTTTCGTAAGATTTATTGTAAATAAATTTATAAACCAACTATCTGTAAATTATTTCATGTCTATATATTAATATATATATATATATATATATATATATATATATATATATATATATATACGCATTTTTAAGACGATTTTGTAAGTGACGTGTACTTTGGAATACTTGATGTTTGAAAAAGGAATTGTTTTAATTTTTGTCTCAAATTCAACAATAACGTAAAGGCTGCGTCAAATAACAAGTGTCCAATATTCCAGTTATATTGAACAAACATCAAATTAAAAGAAATATGGTTGAAATCCAATTACCGGCGATCTCTAATCTATATATTTCTAGGTCAAAAGAAATGTAGATGAAATTAAAAGTTAAAAAACTGATTTAATCTTACTCTAAATTCCATTATTATAACTGGTTAACTAAACTCAAAGAGGACTGTGAATTATACGAATAAAATAATAATTTCAATTAACGTCTTTCTTTCAGTCTAGTTAATGTAATAAAAATGCTACTGAAAGCTGGTGGCACTTTTAACACCATGAGGTCAAACACCGATAAATTTAACTACATGGATACACCACTGCATACTGCGGTGGAGATAGAAAGTTTAGAAGCAATTCAAGAACTGCTCGACGCCGGTGTTTGGGTCTCATGTCTTAACAAGGCTGGAGAAACGCCGTTACATGTGTGCGTGAGAAGGGAATTAGAAGAACATTTGCAGGTTTGTTCCTTTTTCAAATATTTAACCCCAAAACCACAAAAACATCGTAAACGCTAATTTTGTCGCTTAGAGTTTAAATTAATAAGCGCTTAAAGTTAAAAACACAACAACCGGAAACTTTTCTGATCAATATAAAATTTTAAAACATATTTATTGATTGATCTATAACTGTCTCTTGGAACGAATATTCTATGGCCAATAAAAGTGTACAATTTTGATTAGCAAACCGTTTTCTCTAAGAATTATACCGTCTAACTAGCGTCCACAATTTACAACAATATAATGTGTTTTAATTTCAGCTCCTAGCAAATTATGATTACGTGAATGTAAATCCGTTGCTGGCTATTGTCGACGTTAAAGATAAAAATGGTCATTCGGTGCTACAAGAAGCTGTCGAAACGGGTTGGGTCACTGGTGTTTGCACCGCCTTAGAAGCCGGTGCTGATGTTACTTCTAAGGTATAATGTAATTTAATAATTATGCAATATAGAATAACGGTAAATAATATCTAGATACTGAAAATTGTGCAATTAAATTACAGGCTAAGGATGGAGAAACTCCTATCCATTCAGCAGCGGCACGAGGGGACATAAATATACTAAACGAAATACTCAGTGTAGCCAAACAAAGAGATGCTTTAGACTATCAAAATGAAGAAGGCGAGACAGCTTTATACAAAGCAATCATTCATGGTCACGTTGATTGTGTAGCACAAATACTCACTGAGGGAGCAAATGTAAAAATCAATCTACCGGGTGACTTAAATGTTTTACATGTAGCTGCTGATTATGGACATGTAGATGTACTAAGAATATTACTTGGATACAATGAAGCTGTAACGGAATCTTTAATCAATAAATTAACAGCTGGAGACAAACGAGGCTTTAGTCCCTTACATTTCGCCGTTTCAAATAATCATAAAGAATGTGTGGAATTACTTTTATCCAAAGGAGCCGACATAAGACTAAGATCAAGTTGCAGTCCGCACAAATTGTCAACCCCCTTGCACATAGCGGCAGCGAAGAACTACGTCGATATAGCAAAAATAATACTCAGTTTTGATAGTACAACTGTACATGAAGTCAACGGTATGGGCTGGTTTCCTTTACATACAGCTAGCCATCATGGCAGCAGGGACGTTATAGCTCTGCTACTGAAAGAAGGCGCTGATCTTTCAGGTTATACTGACGGTCCTAAGAAATATAGACGAACAGCTATTGATATGATAATTAATAATTTATCAAAGCCTACAGAATTTATGGAAGATATTTTCGATTCTTATATTTCTAGTAATGGACAAGACTTACAAGATCATAACTGTAAAGTTACTGTCAACTATGGAATATTAATGCCTACAGTCTGTGAAATGGAACAAATGAAGGTCATAGAAGCGCTCTTGAAAACCGGAAACAGAAACGGTCAAACCAGGCTGTTGGTCCATCCATTAGTAGAAAGCTTTCTATATTTGAAATGGAAAGCACTTCTTCCATTTTTTTACACAATTATATGCGTCTATGCTGTATTTTTAGTATCATTAACAACATTTGTAACTTCAGTATTTTTCTATAAAGATACAGAAGAAGCAATGCCGGCTTGGTTGGATGTTACCATTTGGGGTTACATTGTTTACGTATCAATATGTTTAATAGTTTTACAAGTAAGTAAAAAAAAATAGTATTTAAGTGTAACGTAACGAAATGAGAATACTCGTAGAAAATTTGCGCCTAAGTCCAAATCGATAATAGCAAAATTTAGTTTTACACGTAAAACAGTTTGTATGTGGCGATCCTTTGCGATTTCACTGTCTCGGTAGTGAAGTGGTAGCGTATGCGACTGCTGTGTTGTGGTCTAGGGATCGATTCCCGGGTCGGACCACATATTTGCATGATTGAGTCATATATGGACAGTCCATTCTGACGGCTATCATGGCCAGGACCCTGTTGGAACTCCCCCTTACCCGAGACAGTAATGATAGTGCTCACATACTGTATAATATGTATATATTTACAAAAAAAAAGTATAGAAGAATTCTATCAGTCAATCTAGTTTTGATAGCACAAGCTCTGCTTAGTTTGAAACCAAATGGCTTTGTGTGTCACATATCCGAAAATATTATTATATTCACCAATTTCTAAACAGTTTTCTTACTAAAACTGAACAGTTACTGTGTAAATAAACAATTTTTCCATTAATTACAGGAAATCCTCTACATGAACGTAAAGAGTAGCCGATATTTTTTACAACTGGAGACTTGGGTGAAATTTGGATCACTAGCATTCTCTGTAATCTTGCCCTATGCAGTCATAGTAGTACAGTTAAATGATGCAGAGTGGCCGCGACATGTTGCGACCGTGGCGCTACTGTTATCATGGCTGGAAATGATGTTCTTGCTATCCAGGTTCCCGAACTGGGGATATTATGTTCTCATGTTCGGTAAAGTTGCCACAAATGTCATAAAGGTAAGGTCACAAGATATACATTGTAAAATTTGGCTCTTAAACATTATAAATAAATCCATTTTGTTTACTTGCAGATTCTTCTGACGTTCGTATTTTTAGTGATTGGATTTTCCTTTAGCTTCATGATACAATTCAGGTCACAGATGCCTTTTGATGGGCCATGGGCGGCACTCGTTAAGACCATAGTTATGATGACATCAGAATTCGATTACACAGCTCTTTTTGATGAAGAGCATTCCGAGCAATTAGCAACTTCATTGATCATAGTTAGAATAATTTTCCTAGTTTTCCTTATCTTAGCTGCCATAGTTCTGATGAACTTGCTTGTTGGTGTAGCCGTTAATGATATTAATGATCTAGAACTCCTTGGCAATATAAGAAGACTAGTTAAACAAGTAGAATTTTTAGGAACACTTGATACGCTCGTATATAATAAAGTATTCACAACAATATTGCCAAGAAGAGTAAATCAGTCGTTAAAAAGAAAACGGAAAGTGAATTCAATAATGGTGCTGAATCCGGGGAAATCTAGCTGGAGATACACCAAGCTATTACCTTCGAGGATAAAAGATGCTATATTTAATAAAGCACAGATACAAAAGAAACAAATAGATGACGAACAAGGCCTTCTATCTTTTAATAAGAAGTTGAACGATATGCATGATATATTAACTAGTATCAGTGAAAAGAAAGAAGCAGAGCCCGCGCCGGATCTCCAAAAAAATTGTGGTGATGAAGATCCTAAATCTAAATGTAAAATTGATAATTTAGTTTCTCATTTAAATGAATTGGATACAGTCATAGGAGATATTAAGAACCAAACAACAGCACAGGCAGAAGAATCGAAATCTTCAATAGCTGCGTTGAACTTTAAGTTAGATCAATTATCTTCAGAATTGCGAATGACTAACATGTTTTTGCTTGCATTAGAGAAGAAACTTGCTAAATGATTCTAAAACCACTATTACTGACATGTATATTTAATCATTTTGTTAAAACATTAATATACGTAAACATCAACATAAACGTTCGAATTGCGAGTGAGATCAGTTGATATTTAAGACGTAGTTTTTTTACTTAGTGTTTTCGAATACAAAAGTAATACGCTTTATTTCTTTTAATGTTGCCAATCCTACTCCTTGAGCTTCTTGTGTTTATTAAGTTCATATTTTGTTAAGTATTTAGTATACCGACGATATGGTAAAGCCGTTGGTTGCAGGCAGCACATGACCGATTGTTGTGGCGAACCTTGAGGGAGCCCTATGTCCAGTGGACGTCTTTTGGCTGAGATGATGATGATTTCAAGCAAATTATTCGACTTGCACCGATTGTCGTCTTAATAGCATAGATAAAGAGATAGAATGAGGTAGGTTAAGAAAATACTTATTTTAATTGATAGCTTGATTTGTGAAGAACTGATTCTGAAAAAGTGCTCAGTATTCTTCTTTTGCTGTTTAACAGAGAGCAATATGAACGTTGCCAAAAAGGGCGTATTTTGACTTTAAAAAAATATATAATAATATTAACTTGACACATCTTACTGTTTCACATTAATATAATAATAACAATAATAATATTGTACCACATTCACACAACGCCATCTAGTCCCAAACTAAGCAGAGCTTGTACTATGGGTACTAGACAACTGATTAAAATACATATAATTATACTTTTTTTTTGGAAATACATACTTATTATACATAGAAACACCCAGACAAAATCAAACATTAAATGTTCATGCACACAAATGCTTGACTTGAGCGGGAATCGAACCCGCGACCTTTGAAATAGCAGTCTGCTACACAAACCACTACGCCATTCGGTCATGTCGCCATTTGAGTTAACATTGATGGGAAATAAGGAACAAAGTGAAGGGGAAAATAGATAAAAACAATCTATCCAAATTTGGGCTCAATTGGTGCAGACATATGAGAGTACTTGAAGCGTCAACAAACCAACATTACATTGATATATATATATATATATATATATATATATATATGATATTTATATTATATTATATATATATATATGAATATATATGAGATATATATTCATATATATATAAGACACAGAAGAAATGATCTTCCTCATCACAATATTTTTACTGAGTCGGAAATGAAACCACAACCTCTGGCTTGTCAGCGATGATCGCTAACCCACTGAGGACTGTCAGATTTTTTTTATACAAAATTTCTTAGAGTCAGCCATCACGTCCTTATCCTTCTTCCCCAGAGTCACGGTCCGGTGACCTTGCTCACTCGAAAGACGATGAAAGAGCTGCTTAAAACCGATTGCCTGTGAGGCTGAGGTTCTGCTACGGTCGAGCGGACCTATGGAGATATGGACTTTGTTATTTTTTTTGTGCTAATTTGCCTAAGAGATCATACTACTCCCTGTGCTTCGTACTGTGGAAAGAAGATCCACCCTGTTTTGCTGTACCCTAACCTTTTCACGAAAGAATAAGGGATATTAATATTAATTTCTCATACTACAGTAGGAACAGAACGCATACTTCGACGCTTCACAGAATTTTCCATCTCACGTTGTTACTTAATAACTGACATCATACGAATGAACTTGATTTAGATGCTCCTAATAGCCAGTATATCTTGATCTCTTACCAAAGGTTTAAACCCCTCAAAATACTGCTTTGCTTATAGGAAAAGGGAGAGGTGGAAGTTCATTTGATAATGGTTGTTGCTAGAGCTTCATCAACAGAATTGTGATTTAAGGTTGTGATGCTCGAAATGAAAATATGGTTTATTTTTATAGCGGCCTTCCGTGATTGGACATTGTTGTTTTGTAGTACCGAGATAGGTACACCTATATATCTTGCCTTGCCTTGCCCTAAAGATAATACTATAACTTTAAATAACCGACTTCAAGGAGGAGGAGATTATCAATTCGGATGTTTATATTTTTTTTATGTATGTCCAGGCATTACTCTGTCGTATATGAACAGATTTTCAAAATTCTTTTTTTGTTTAAAAGGGGCTTATTTCGAAATAGTCCCATTTAAAATTCATATAGGTCCCATGACGAGTTTCGAAGACTGGCAACGGAAATCCTCAAAAAAGTGACAGCTAATCAACCGCGATTTCTCCTAGGTTTTTTGTCCTCTTTGTTGGTATTGTTAGAAATCGGTTTAACTTTTTTGAAATGGATTTATACAGACACCTTCTTATCAGTGTATTTTTTGGAACGAAGTTCCTTATCGCGCGTTGTGAAAGGGGGCTAGACGGAAAAAATTTGTACGAAAATTTGGAACGACACTTTTAATATAAATTGACGTCTAACTGTGGATACCATACATTACATTTGCTTTAACGTTCGCCAACGTCCATACCATATTGAATACACCGGTACTCGTCCGATCACCGAAGTTAAGCAACATCGGGCGTGGTTAGTACTTGAATTGGTGACCGCCTGGGAATACCACGTGATGTTGGCTTTTTGAACTTTATTTTCGTGTCATCTTGTCAGACATTCAGCGCCATCTATCGAATAGATAGGAAATCATTTCGCAAGGAGATTTTACCAATGTATAAATTGTTTTTAATATGTAGGTAATAGCCGCTTTCATAGATAGCGTTGTAATTAAAATCGTGTCAAATCAGTTTTACGTTGAAAGAAAACCGTTGCTAAGTAATTCTATTGTTTTTTTCACTAGAGATGGAACAAAATCACAATCACCAGTGATAAACTATATGATCACTTCTGTGACTAATTTACAAAACCACTGCCACTTATTATTACGCTAGCGCCAGACTCGCAAAAGGTCTAAATCTAAAAAAAGAATCGTCATCTGTCTATGACCAAATCACAATCACAAGTGAAATGACCAAGACTAAATCGATCACCCACTGAGGTTACTGGAGACATTCAAAGGCTACCATTGTCTCTTGATCTACAGACCTGCAGCACTTACCATCAGAGGGATAATATGCAAGTTTATTTCACATCAACTTACTCTCGGCAGCAAAAGCATTCGGCGTTGCGTTTGGTGCAGATTTCAGTGCGGGCCAATCACAGCGCCGAACGCGATCACCATGACGATCTAGTAGATGTAAAAAAAACTTGCACTAGTCTAGGCGCTCAGGTGACCCATCTGGTGTTTGCCCCTTTAACATAAAAACAACATTGGCCATAGTCACTGGCTGGTCAAAAAGTCAGCAACTTAAATGTTATACCTATTACGTGATCACATTCGTTCCCGTCATCTTCATTTCAGGCGCAGGACGTCCACAGCTGGACATAGGACTTCCCGTGTATAAACAGAATCATATGACGTTCCTCACTTTTGAAGATGTATAAAAACCGAACAATCTCATCTTGAGTGTGTAAATAATATTTTTAATAGTTCTTCATAAAATCTAACTTGAGTCAATTAAGTGGATATTAGTAACTTAAATGATAGGCAGTTAATAGCAATAATGATCAGAGCCGTAATGGAAATGTTGTGTTGCTGTGAATTAGACGCAGCCCTACTGCCTCTTAGTCTGGTAGAGGTCACAGTGCCAGCGACATGCGATGGGATTCCAGTCGAGAAGGAGCAAATGTAAAAGATCGCTATCATCGTGGACCCATCTTTACCTTTCAATAGTAAAGGTTGCCAATGATTACACAGGCCCACAAAAAATTTACCCAGAAACCAGAGTATGCCTAACAGATTTTTCAGAAGATTTTTGTGCGCTGAATCTAAATCCGGCCGCAGAATTGCTCTATCACGTCAGGTTTTTGATATATTCGAACCTAAAAGTGCAAAGAAGACTTGAACTTTAAGATACCCTGCATAAAATTTGAACGGTTAACCTTATAACGGGCAAAAAAATGTGTTTTTGCCATTTCACACCCAAATTCTTCGGGAAAGTATACTCTGGTATCTGGGTAAGAAACTTTGTCAAATTTTGTTGGTCTATGTTATTAATCATTTGCAACATAATACATTATTATAACACAAATTATGTGACAGTTCATAAATAAACTAACAACAAATTATGTATGTTTAGTATTCATTTTTTACCTTTATACATGAAAAATAACATATACGCACTTACACGTCTATTACTTGTCTCGCTTCATCTTGTTGTCATCTTCAAAAAGGTAAACACCAAAATAAAAAGTGCTTTAAAAGTTAATTATGTAGAAAGGTGCATAATTCAAGAAGGGATTGACCAATTTTCTAAATGTTTGATCTTTCTTCACTCCGAATAGCCGAATAACTATTAAAATATATTCAATCCTTAACTAGCTAATAACAAAAGTCTAAGTATAATGTGTTATTAAGTTGAAATGTATTACCCGCTAACACTGAGACCGCGTCACAAAGCGTAGCGTATTTTAGTACATATAATGGTGTAGTACGTTGGACGCACGGGTAATATGTAGGTATAACACGGCTTATTCACAAGTGTATAACCATTGCGTGAACGAAACGAACCACTTAATGAATAAGGTCTCAACAACCCACAAGCGAAGCGGATAGCGAGTTTTGTATTCAAATCATTGTGAATACCATACAGGTATGGTTAATGAACGTTATTCAGTTTTCTGATCCTGGGAGCCTGAGTTAGTAAATAATTATGTCACTCACGATATAACTACTACGGATAGGGAGTGAAAGCATTAGCCCGATCAGGTCTGGGAAGTATTTTCTTTTGTTTGGTGAGAGTGGAAAATCTCTTCGATTCGGGAGGCAGAAGTATGTTATATTTCAACTAAAACGTCCCCGACAGCCAGGCTCAGACGCCTTATTCTGAAGAGTACCCGTCCCATATGATTTCAAGGTCTCGCGAATGGATGCTGCAAATTCCCCCCCCCCCCCCCCTTCCCTTGAATATACAAAACAGTCTTACAAGTATTGCCTAACGCTTATGACTTATACCTCATCACAAATGCGTGCATACTTGAATTGAAGCTGAATTCGTATAAACGTTGAAATTAATGTAGTGAATATATTTAGTTACGTAAGTATGTTATCCTTAATTGTTAACTACAAATAAAATTGTTCAAATTATTGGTTTATATTTTAGTACGCAATGATATAGCATTAGCCAATTATCAAGCATCTTACATTTCCGAATCTATTCACGTAAACAAAACCTTTTTCCTAAAATTAAACCTTTCCTTCCAATATACGGCTAAATGGGAACCGAGTAGATTAACACATTTGAAAATCAAGCAATCCAAGCCAGGTCAGTCTATGGATGGGTGTCGATGAACAACTAAAATTATATTTGGCAACGTGTAGGCGTTTAATATGCCTCTAACTTTTTTTTTGGTTGACGGGGTGAAAAATACCTTCGGATCTTCGGCTCCTCAGGGACGCAGGAGCCAGGAGTATGTGGTGTTTCTACTAAAACTACCCCAGCAGCCGATCTCAGGCGCCTGGGGAGGACCCGGTTCATGTTATTTCAGGTTCCCCAAGGATCGACGCCGCGCCTAGCCAGACCCTATTCTGGGGAAAGCAGGCTTCTCTCCGCCTATCGGCCTAATCAATGTGTGTTGCGGCCCAATCGCATTTTGCGATCGGGCCGCCGTCCTGTTACCTACCGCAGCAATTAACCCCTAGCAGCTTGCGGCCCCGTCGACGGCTGATAACGCCGCTGACGTCCGCCTACACATTTCAGAAAATAGGCATGAATATATATGTATGTGTTAGATGTTTGAATTTTAGTTCACATCTAGCAATATGGCCGCTCTTTGCAGCTAGTGTTTGTCTGAATGGAACTTTGTTCACGTATACTTATTTTTGACACTGACTGTATCAAAAAACTATGAAATTTTAACTATAGCTACGGATATGCCTTTGGGGGTTCAAAGTCAAGAAAGCACACCGCCTGAATACATGCTTTTTCCTAAAGGACCGGTACCAATGATATTTTTTTTAAATATAACTGAACCAATTACCAAATGTCTTAAAAGACATTTGATATTCTAACATAATACCACCATAACAGAACGAAAAATATATGACTGGACAGAACAGACGCATCAGAAAAAAACATTTTCCGTGTAAATCAAAATGAATGGGTCATTAGTTGGTTCATATTGCGGCAGATACCTTTCATAAGCTCTTATGAATGGTCTAATGAAACTCAATATTATTTTGATATTCGTAGCTTTTACTTTACTGATACGGCAATGTATTTAATTAGATACATGCCTTCTTGCTTGGCTCTGGAATATTAACGTGGATTCGAAACTTCAAATAATGTTTTTTTTATTTACTGTTGAGTTTAAGACAGTGCTACCCATTGTTTTTATTACACGTATTTGTCACTGAGGAAATTTCATTTTATAAATTAAAAAAAAAGTTTTTGCTTTTGTAGACTTCTTGTCATTCAATCTATATATTTATATTATTATATACTTTTTTAAGGCTGAACAAGCTCTAAAATTATATCATTGTTGAAGAAATAGAGTATTTTCGTGTGTTTGGAATTTAGAACGACTACAATCAAATTGTAATTTTCCAGGCAAACATGTGTTCAATTGGGTTGTTTTAAAACAAGAACATTATAGTTTACAAATAATCAGCTTATTTATTAAAAGCATCTGCAAAAGATACAAAAGAAAACACTCACATGTTTGTTCTATAACGTGAAATATTGTTATTAAAATTAACAGTAACAGAAACGGTATCTTCTCACTTTATTGATTTAATATGATCCTGTATTTTTGTCATGATATCTTTGCTGAACTGTTCTAGCATCTCATTCTGTCTAACTATAGCGTATTGTATTTCATCAAGTCTTTTTTCCAAACCCAATGAGCAAACCTCGTCTATTTGTTTCTTCTGTGACTGAGCCTTTTCAAATAAAGCCTCACGTATGTGTATCGGAAATAATTTGTAATATTTGCACGTTTGTTTATGCGGACTTAAGGTAACGACGTCGTTCTCATCAAAAATGGCTAGTTTGTAATACCTTTTTGGTAGAACTTTTCGAATATATTTGTCTGCATCTTCCAAAGAAGACAGAAAGTCCACCTGCTTCTCTAACCTTCTCTGATTTCCTATTTTCTCTAAATTATTGACGTCGTTCACTGCAACACCTATCATCAAATTCATGAGTACTATCGAGGCCAATATCACAAATGCAACAAATATCACACGTAGAATTGATATATGTGTGTCGATGTCTTCTGAGTTCTTATTGTTTATGGTTGATGAATAGTCGTATTCTGACGTCATCATCACTAGTGTTTTAGAAACTGAAGCCCACAAAGTCTCAAATGGAGGTTTTCTTCGAAATTGTATCATAAAGCAGATTGAGAAACCAATGATTAGAAACCCAAAATTTAGCAGTACCTGGAACAGTAAAATAACAATATTTAGTTTTTTGAATACTATGTTGACCTAACAATTTTGGTTTTAACCATTTAATTGTGACAAACTTTGTTTGCTTGCACCCATTTTAAAGTCTTAAAAATTTTAATCAGCAAGAGAAAAATAATTAATTACTAGCTTTTGCCCATGGCTCCGCCCGCGTGTATGTCGATTTTCGCAGTAAAAAGTAGCTTATGTTACTCGCTAATAATGCAGCTTTTCGTTGGTCAAAGATTTTTTTAAATCGGTTTAGTGGTCACTCACTTTTACATTTATAATATAAGTGTGGATTTAAAGGACAGAAGGCCAAGTCTCGTTATAAAAGTTCGGTCACAATTCAGTTCCGATCAACTTTCGATCTCGCAACTGTCGTAAAAGGTATTTTCATATTAACAGTAAATTATTACTAAGACCAGCAAATTAACGATTCCATTTTCGGTCGCAATACGATATAATCACATTATAGTCAACGTCGGATGTTTAATACTTTACTACGAAAATACTTTTTATGACAATTGTAACATCGACAGTTGATCGGAACTGAACTGTGACCGAACTTTTATTACGAGAATTAGCGCTCTGTTAGTTGTTTTGAAGTTGGACCTTCTTCCGTTTAACAATGAATACCAGTCTTTATGTTAATAATTATTTTCTAGGAGTTATAGTGCTAAGGATGATAGTATGAAGATATCCACATAATGCAATGATTATCTTTATCTCCAATGAAAAAAAAAAATTAACACGCTCCTAGCGCCAACAACAGAAAATCTTGCTTACCATTGAAGAATATTGACGATCATAGCGTCCACGAACATGACTCTGTTCTTTAACTTAAGTATAGCAAATATGGACAACCACCTCATAACTAAATAGTCTCATGAACAATCTTGTAACTTACTTTTAATACTTTTGCTGTAACTTTTCCGAACATTAAAACATAGAATCCCCATCGTGGAAATTTGCAGAGGAGGAGCATCATCTCTAACCAGGTCAGGAGGACAGCTATACACGCTACAGCTCGCATTAGCTCAGATTCAGGGCTGAAAGTCGATATCACTGTAGGTAGGAACATAGCCAATATAGTAGCTATAAAATTTGTCCAAGTCTCTAAGAAGAAGAAATAACTTTTTCCTGCCATAATCTTCATAAACATAATCTGTAAGATGAGTAGCTTTAAATTAATGAGAAGACAGAAGTTAAATATACCCATTTGATTACTGTAGTAATTATGGAAGATAGTTTGGAAATAGTTTCCTTTCCTTAAAACATTGAAAATAAATTAAAATTCCTTATATATTTCCTGATACGGTGTATTTTTACCAGGAAAAGCATATTTCGAATATTTTATTTTAAAGTTTTTTAGGCTAGGCTAGGTGCGTTTTAGCCACCGCCCAGAATAGGGCACGGCTCTGTCATCCTCAGAGGATATTGGCGGTTAGAGCCATACGCGGTTACCGCACCGTATCGACGGATGCGGCGTGCGCATTGGCCGGTACTCGCCCGTGGGATTTAGAGGCAGAAGTGCTCGCCGAAGTATATGCGAAGTATATGCGTGAGGCCGTTCGCCGAGCCACGATGGCTCGTTGGTCGTAACAGCTGGGGGCTCCACGTGCTGGCTTTGCTACCGTGGAGGCGCTCCAGCCGGTCTTCGTATAGTGCGATTGCAGTGAGGACACGCTGGCAATTTGCAGTCATCGGACGGAATCTCTCGCTACCAGCCGTCATACGCTCCATGGCCGGTAGTGACAGATGTGTCACCGCAGTCGCATCCTTCTGCGAAGACGTCAACTCGCAGAAGGAGGCGGCGGAGAGGGCCCGAAAGAACAACCTCAACTCGGACCCAATCCGTCGCCGGCGAACCGGGCGGCGGAGGCACGCTTACCACCGCCTCATGCCGCCCTGAGTGTGGCCTGCGGGTGGACGGGACGGGTTTTCTCCTCCACCCGCCATAACGGCCAGCCGCGAGGAGGCTACGTCCGCGTGTGCCGGACATCGCTTAAATGGAGAATATACCTGAAGGTGGCGAACGCACCGTTGCGGGCAGGCGCTAGGAGGGATCCGGATGTCTCAATAACAGCAGTTCCCGGATCCCTCCTATTACTGGCGCAGAGTGGCACACAGTGTGGTTATAGTCGGTCCGATTTCGACACACCACCCCGCCTTAAACCCCGGTGGGGTGAAGGCCCGAGGGGGTTTCCACACAAAAAAAAAGGTGCATTTCAGTCATTCACAACACTATTAAAGATATGGCTGCATAGTTCTGCAATACATTGATAAAGATACCGTTTTGAAAAAATATCTTGATGTCACCTGCCATAAACCATGTTTTTTAAAGTTTTATATACTGATATGAATTCACCTGCATCATGACTAGTCCACCAGTCAAAATTGTCATAATTTTCCAGGTAAATACATGGAACAAGATTGGTTTCTTTTCATCCTGATTCTCGTTTTTATCCAGTTCGAAGAAAACTGACATCACATACATATTTAACGATACAACACAGCATCCATACAGTCCAACTATAAAGTAGAAAAATGGTAAAAGTGACTTCCATTTTAAATAAAGGAAGCTTTCTATCATCGGATGATGAAGCAGTGTCTTCTGATTGTCACTATTTCCAGTATTAACTAGAGCTTTGATTACTTTTACTTCTTTCATTTCTAAAGCATTCGGCAACAGTAGTCTGTAATCAATCTTCACCTTGCAGTCTTTATCTTCAATGTTTAAACCGCAAGTAGTAATATAAGAATCAAAAATTTCTTCCAAAAATGCGGTCGGTTTCGATAAATTATTCATTAAAATCTGAATAGGGGTTTTCACTTTAGGATGTGTTGCTGATAAATCAGCTCCTTTTTGTATTAGTAGAGCAATTATATGTCTATTACCATGGATACACGCTTCATGCAAAGGTTGTAATCCTGCCGAATTACGTTTATTTATTATTTTGCTATCAAATTCTAACAGGACCTCAACAATTTCGACATAATTTTCAGCCGCCGCGATATGTAAAACTGTGGTGTTTATAACTTCACCTGTACTATACTTATATGGTAATAAAATATCGATGGTCGCACGGTGAATAAGTAGCAGGGACACGCAATCGAGGTGATTGTTCATAACAGCATTAAATATTGGAGTACGTCGGCTTACATTTGTTATATCGTCTATCAAATTCTTCTCATAAAATGCATTACAGTTAAGTAAAAATGATAATATTTTTACATGACCATGCTCAGCCGCTATATGCACGACATTACAGTTATCACCATTAGGTTTATTATTCACGAAAGAGGCACCATTGCTGAGTAATAATTTAACAATATTTAGGTGGTTGTGTGCCACGGCTATGGAGAGAGCTGTTTGACCTTCTTGATTCGGTAAGTCGATAGAGTATTTGGCAACAGTTAATAAAGTTTCGAAAATTTGTACATTGCCAAGTGCCGCGGCGAAGTGAAAGGGTGAATTGCCATCATTTGCCTGAAAACGAATTATAATAATAATTTGCTACCACATTCACACAACGTCATCTAGCCCCAAACTAAGCAAAGCTTGTACTATGGGGAATATGTATTAGTTTTGTTAGTATTTCAACCTAAACTGCCAATCGAAAAGGTACCTGTTTTTTTTTAATTTTTCTTATATTATATTATTTAGGAATGAATGTTTCTGTAAAAGTGTGTGATCTTCTCTGCATGTGAATTTAAACCAATAAGAAGTTAATATGTCATTTCTGACCTGTATAAAAACGTTAGCACCAGCTCCTACAGCAACGCGCACGCCATCTATCCACTGCGCTCTGACTGCGGCACCGAGGAAAGTCTCCCCATTTTTATCTTTAGCATCTACAACTTCTACTTGAGTATGTTGATTACTGTGCTCAAAGTTTGCTAGTAACTGAAATAACACAAAGGGTAAAAATCTTAGTACTTAAGCTAACGTTCAATTTTACGACTTTAGTACTCACAATCACGATACCTGCAAAATCTTTTTGAGTTTTCTGCTAACACAAATATGTAAGGGAGTCAGACCATTACTATTAAGACTGATTGCAGAAGCACCCGCTTTCAGAAGTACCTTTACGGCTTCCTTACTTCCCAACTCCACTGCTGTATGTAGCAATGTATTAATGGTTCCCGAACCATTCATGAAAGGATTATCTTTTATTATTCCACCCGCAACTGCTATGAGGCTGATAGTGTCAATAAAACTGTAAAACAAAGTGTATTTTATAAAGTTAACTCCCGCATTAAGAAGTTCTATCTGATATATGGGAAATCTCATCGCATTGAAAAGATAACCAGACTCAGTACAACAACTTGTGTTTCACAAATTTTAGTGTCGTAATAACAAGGAAACAATTTTATAGATTGCGCAATTCGTAGAGTCTAGTGCGGTTGGTCTTTTAGAGTTTCAGTTCATTGGTAAAGAAAGCAGAAGATTATTGGTTCGATATGTTTGCTTTAATTCTAAATAGAAAACTAGTGATCCGCTCCGGCTTCGCACAGGTGCATTGTAGATACCACTAATATTACTGATATGGTGTGAGTGTAGAATAGTAAATTTTACTACTTATTGTTATGACAAGACTATACTACAGAGACATCTTTATATGCAATATATTAGAATTTTAACTGTGAAGTTGAAAATTTGTATCAAAATATATTTTTTATTTTAGCTTATTTATTTAGCAAAATTATGTATAAAATTTTGCCATTTTGATGCCAGTTTATTAATCCATTTGCTGTAAAATCCTGCTAGACGGGGAGTGATGAAGTCAGCGAAAGCGTTTTTTACTGCTTCTCCAGTGTTGAATTTAAGACTAAATTTTGGAACAAGTATAAATCTGTTGAGGGAAAGTCCAGTGAGTACAATGGGTGACGGAGAGATTCCAGCTCTTGTAGCTTTGCGATGGTCTGTCATGAAGTGTGAGCTCGTGCGTTCTCATTGAGAAGCAATGGAGAAGAGCGATTGACTAGTCTTGGTTGTTGACTTGCGAGCTTCTCCATCATTGTTTGCAATTCTTGGTAATAGATATCTGCAGTCATTCGGTAAGTAGCTGTGATGTACAAGTCCAGCACTGGTCAACCAGACAGACACTAGCATCTTCCTATGGTTAATATTTTTTTTAGCGCACTCATTGCTGCTATACTCGGTCGAACGCTGACGGTTGTTGGACAGGTTCCACTTTTCATCTCAGGACAGAAGTGCTATGTATGCTTCGATACGTAAGGCTCGCTGATGATCGCTTAGTTCGTGTGGCTCTTATATAGATCTTTTATCTTTCTGATTTGATGCAAGTGCTTTAAAGTTATTTTGACAGTAACTCCAAAGCGCACAGCAAGCTCGGCTGTAGATTGAATTGGATCAGCTTCCACTATCGACTTCAATTCGTTGAAGTCGACTATGGTGACCGGTGGAACGCGAGGCTCATTATTCAACTCAAAATTTCCAGATCTAAAACGATTGAACCAGTAGTGGACCGTGTTTATGCAAGCAATATTAGGCCCGTATACGTCGTTAATGTTTCGTTTTGTTTGCGCAGCGGTATTTTCCCGTAGGAACTCATATTCGAAAATTGTACGAATTTTCAGTTTATCCATGGCGCCAAACACTACCTCAATTTCAGAAAAACAAAAGACTCTCTAAAACAAATGACTGAGTTTACATGACTTTCGAAAAAAAAAATGGAATTTCGAATTGCGCGCCATACACAGATAATTAGTCTGAAAATGCTGTTTTTTTTTAATTTCCTAGTTCATAGGAAAAGACCAAGAATAATGGCCTGCTCCGCTCCTGCCGGCCACTGCCGACCAGCTTGCACGGCTCGACGCGGAGATAGGCGCTTTACCATCGCATTTAAAATTTAAATTTCTGATGTCTAAAAAGATATTATCTTTGGGGCTAAAAGGCTTTTTTATCTAAATTAAATGCACAACGTATATAAAATATTTTTTCGATAAGGAATAATACTGTATTGTTCCAAATAGCTTCGTAAATTAAACACTTTTTTTTGCAAGTATAAAAGATCAAAATGGTTACTGTGGGTTATCCTTAGGAATCTTTTTAACATATACAATTCCATAGCACATTAATCGCTGGCTTAAACATACGAGATATCGTATGTTTAAGCCAGCGATTGCAATGTAAGTGCACAAAAACCTTTTTTACGACTTTATATTACCTCACATCACATCAACAGCCTTTACTAGTCCACTGCTGGACATAAGCCTCTCCTTGTAAAGGAGGTATTGGCCTACTATAGCACTCTGGCCAAACGGATTGGTAAGTCCGGTTGGGTTTGTCTTCATTATAAATCTTTGAAATCGGCTTTCCTCTGCGTAGTTTGAAAGAACTAAAAACGACTTCATTTTATACTGTGTAAATTTGCATAAATGTGTCGCTTAGTCATATATTGCTTCTTTTAAGGAAATCTAGTTCTGTGGTAAAGCATTCTTATCGTATTTTAGCCCCAAAATCAAAGATCATACTCGAAATCAGCAATTTTTTAAATTGTTATAAAATATAAAATAAGGACAAATCCCAACGATAGTCAGAATTAAAAATAAACCTACAAGAGTTCAATCATTTCACGTCTTTCAACTTTGATAGAGCCTGGATGCCCTTTTATAGCATCCGAGTAAGTTAGCAAAATGTTTCGATACCCTTATATAAACATTAATCAATCCGAGAATTTACAGGTTTACACATTTCAATAGGTGTACTTACTCGCGGATGTCGATAGCAAACCCCAAATGGTGTGCAGCTCCCATCACGTCCAAGGGCGTTCTGCCCACAACGTCTAACGCGTTGAAGTCGGCTCCAGCAGCGAGTAGCAACTGAATGCAGGAATAATGCACCCGCGCACAAGCTAAATGCAGTGCTGTCCAGCCTGACTCAATTTCCGGCATCTGAATAAATTATTAATTTTTCCTTTCTCTAAGGAATACTCCAAAATTGTCTTTTTATAATTATTTTTCTCATGAAATCATAAATCAAGCAGTTAAGAGCCCGTCTGACGCCTGCACCTAAGGTTCGACCAAAGGCCATACCATTTTAGAAACTGAAAACTGCTTTAGTTCTATTAAAAATAATTAAAAAAACCTAAGTTCATAAGCTATAGAATCACGAAACATAAGTTGAATTGAAAGAAAAACCTCATTTTACAGTTATAAAAATACTTTTTCATACTCCTGGTTAATAAAAATTTGTTTAAAATGTAAAGCTCAATGGTCACTCTTTTGATTGCTTGTTTTTTAACAGCTTCAAAGCGTGGTTCTTGATGACGACGGAGTATTTGATGATAAATTGAACTTTATATATTTTGAATCTTTTTTAAAGGCACATGATACTTTACCGAACGAAGGAGCCAGCAACCGATTTCTTCGTTATATTATGTTTGATGAGGGCCCATGGCCAGAAGTATCACAACGCAGGCAAAACGGCATCCAAGAGTCAATGTTATAATGAACTTACGTGTTTACTAAATTGGTGACAGTCGTGCTCCATGCTGTCACTCCAAGCCTCAGGAAGAGTGGAAGACTTAGTCGTGTCACATGGAACGTTAATTAGATGTTTTTCTTTAAAACACATTTTTTTTATTTCAAGCTCGATTTTTGGTGGTATTTTTTTAACTTCAACTTTATTTTGGAAGTCTGTAAAAATAATAGTAATAGTCAATCTTTGAGAAAATAATTTTTATTGTAGTTTCTTAATAATTTTACTTGGTTTGAAATGAAATTAGAGATTAAGTCGGTAAACTTAACTTGCGTAGTATCAAATGTAACTTTTCTGTACTGCTGAATTTAAGGCCAACCATTATTAAAAGTTATCTCTTAGTACAAGTCATAGTTCGAGCGGGTCAAGGTCATTAACCTTGAACACGAATTTTCTATAGTTGGAACGTCTGAACCCTCTGACCGACCGTTTATTTTGAAATATTATTGAAGCGAAATTTTTACTAAACAAACCATTATATTGCGATAAGCGTTTGTATTACAAAGAGATTTTGATTGATACACTCACATTCTGGAAAATCCAATAAAACAGCAATTTGTCTCGATCTTCCTGCCCAAGCGGCGAGATGTAGTGGAATTCGACCAAGACCATCAGTCCTAAAGCTTTGAGCCCCAGCTGCGATGAGCATCGATAACGATTCATTATCCATCATGGCAGCCATGTGACAAGCTGATACGCAGTTTAGATGGCACGTGGCATTGGGGCTAGCATCTAACTTTAATAGTCTGGAAGATACACATATACAATTCTTAGCCCTGACTTACTGATTCATCGACGCCTTAAAGGCTGGGCCACAAACTTGATATTTTGGCAAATAATGCTTTTTATCTTGTAAGCATCCTCTAAAAAATTATCTTTGGAAATTTCACCCCGAAGCGGATAAAATAAGGGATGAAGGATTGTATGAAAGTTCGTTATTTTCAAAGTTTGAAACACGAAATACGAGTCATCATAATAACTAGTATAACTCTATGACAGACAAACGTAAGGCATGAGTTCCTGTATGTACGGGCTAAATCTTCTTGGCGATTATCGCAGCAATGGATGATCTTAGTGACGTCAAACCAGGATTCACAGAGTTAAACTCTGTGACAGACGAACGTAAATGGATCATGCAAGAGTTCCTGACGGTACTGGCTAAATCTTCTTGGCGATTATCGCAGCAATGGATGATCTTAGTGACGTCATACCAAGATTCACAGAGTTAAACTCTGTGACAGATGAACGTAAATGGATTACCAAGAGTTCCTGTCTGTACAGGCTACATCTTCTTGGCGATTATTTCAGCAATGCCTGATCTTAGTGCATTCCTGCATAGGGACACAGAGTCAAACTCTGTGACAGACGAACGTAAATGGATCATGCAAGAGTTCCTGACGGTCCTGGCTAAATCGATTATCTCTGTAATTGATGACTTGGTGTAGTCCTGCATAGGTTTACAGAGTTACACTTTTTTCGACAGCCCAGGTTAATGTTATAATAACTATTTAAAAAAAATGTATTTTGCGAAGTAAGATTGCGACACTATTAATTATTTTAAAGTTTTTTAATTTGTTTTGTTTTTAATTTTATTTTTAAATAACATTTAAGCAACATAGCAGAAGTATAATATCAATATCGTAGATATTAGTTACTTTTTAAGAATTAAGATATTGCCGATATGAGTATGCCCTGTGTCTGAGCATATGATCTACTTTTCGCAAAATATTAAAAAAAGACCAACGGATCTGGTACACAACGATAGTTCAAGTAATAGTTGCCATTGACATAAACTAAAAACAATTAAAACTACATTATAATCGAACTTCGACCACTAGGGGATCTCTAGTATTTATTAATCAATTTCAATTTCAATTTTCAATTTATTGCATTCCATAATGTACATTCAGGTGGTAGGCTTAAAAGTAGGTAACAATTATGGACCCTGTCGGGCACAGCACTATCAGGAGAGAGGAGGAGCTGCCTCATTATGCTGGTTTTAAGAGCTTCATTTCAATACCAACATATTCTGCTTTAAACGAGATAAACTAATTAAACCAAATAGTATATTTAACTTGCATGTTCATAATAGGATGTAGTTGTTGATAATTTAATAAATTTATTAATGAACAATGTCAGTACAAAATTATTTTACCATTCATTGTATATCAATTTATTGCATAGTCATTCATTATATATTAATATTTATTAAATGTAAATTTATTAGATTTTATGTCTATACTGGTATGTGTTTATAATGATTAATTTTAGTTATTTAAAATCTGTGCGATTACTTTCATATCTCAAAAGGTCTTCTAAAGAAGAAACTAAAGTTCGACTTTTCGATAGCAGTAAAGTAAGTTCTTAAAGAAAATAAACAAAAAGAAAAGATGTCATTTAAATTGTTTCTCAGCTAACCACATACTTAGATATTCTCTCGATGTCACCATTTCCGACAGCATCTAGGAGGCGCGTGTTCTTGCGACAGCCCTTCAATCTAGGATCATTTGGCCATGACAAGCGGCCAACCAATTCTCTGATGGTTCTATCTTCCTTGGCCTCGTTCTCTACAAAAAAAAAGGATTATACAACATTTTTCATTATAAATAATAATATTTTCACAAATTCACATACGGCCGTCTGATCTCAAACTAGGCAGAGTCTGTACTATGGTAACCACTGCTGCTGCTGCTGATAAAGTACACCCAGACAGAGAAGAAATTACCGTGCTCATCACATAATTATTTGTCCTGGGTGGGCATCGAACCCAGTTTCTTTGACGCTTGACTTCTCTTGGTGGTAGCGTTATAGAGTCTATAGCCTTTCTCGATGAAAGTGCTATCCAACACTAAAATATTTTTTCAATTCGAAACTGTAGTTCGCGCACCCTTCAGCTTTATACATATTAATATAAATATATTCAGTTCTAGAACGCATAAAACGATCTAGACTCAGCGTGTCTCGATAGCTATGTGTGATAGAACATTGAGGAAAATACATGTGTATATGTTGTTTACATTGACGCCTGTTGGTTTAATAGGACCTCATTGAATTTAAATCAATAAAATCGGGTAATACACCGTTTTTTTAAACAATCTAACTCTCTATTGTATTAAACACTTATTAAAACTAAATCTTTTATCGACTTGAAACTATGGCGTAACTTTTATCGAAAAACAAATTTTCGGTTGCAGACAATCCGTGAAATATTCACTTATCCAATGACGATGTCTGAACATCTATGAACTATCGACAAACGAAAATGAAATTGTGCAGATTTTTTGAGAGCAACAGTAACTATGAATAATAATTGATAATTTGAATTTGTGACGGAGATTTTGTATGAAAGACTTTAATTTTGCTGCTCAAAGGGAGCTGTCAACTTAAGAATGCCGTTGATATTTTTTTTTATTGTCAAATTTCTTGTAACTAGTAAAACAGACACGTTATTGTGGGTTTAAAGGTATGAAGTCGCCAGTAATTAACATTATTATTATTTTGTCAACAAGCCGGCAATCGTATACGACTGATAATATTCCTGTTTTCTCATTTAATTTTTCTTTTGATGCAAGGTAATATTTATCCAGTCCGTTCTTAAACTGAATGGTAATGTCATCTGACACTACATATTCTGGATGCTTGTTTTACTGATTTTTTGAGGATTGTTGTTGGAAAAACTGGTGATACTAATAGGTACATAATAAGTGTGACTGTTACTTCATTTGGTCTTTTCGGTTTACCAATACTTTCGCATACCAATGTCATGATACTAGGGTAGTGCTAATAAAGACTTAAAACTTTGGCTAATCTCTTATCATATCTATAAAAGGAGAAACTGAGAGACTGATTCACTGACTGATCGATGACTGATCAAGACTAATTCACACCTGAAACCGCTGGGTGTAGAAGCATGAAATTTTGCGCAAATATGACTTAGGTGACGTAGGTGTAAGGGTGGTAAATGGAGGTTGAAAATTTATATGAAACTTTGTCGTTTTTTGGTAGTAGCGTTTTCAAACTCAGAGTAAATCTCTTTATTAAAACAAATAAAAAACGTTGTTAATAATTTTTCAAAACTACCCTTAAAAAGGGGTGCAAATTTGTATGGAGAATATACCTATATTCTTGATTCATTGTATCCTCTACGATGTCTGATCGACCACCACTCGGACGAAGTCGCATGCAAAAGCGACTAATAGCACTGTAATAGTTCTACGAGCGAGCGACTAATAGTTCTACTGCTAATCATGCGTCTGCCTTTAGTGCAGGCGTTTGAAAATAGACCCTTTTCCCTTTTTTTTTAAGAGAACGCCTAAGACACTAGGAAAAAATCCTGTGTCTGGGTGACTTTACAAACATACATGAAACGGACACAAAGGACATCCAGACTCAAAACAACAATTTGTGGATCACACAAAGTGTTCTCCCATGTGGGGATGGAACCCACAACACTCAGCGCAGTAGGAAGTAGCGAGGTGACCGCTTAAATCACTAAGCCATCCGTGCAGTCAATACCGTTACATATTAACTATTGCCTGCGGCTTTGCTCGCATGTTCATTTCTAACTTTCAAAATGACAAAGTTCCATACAACCGTTAATCGCTTATTTTACTCCTGTTAGGGGTGAAATTTCCAAAAGATCCTTTTTCAAAGTGTCAAACTTGTAGCCCTAGCGATGTAGGCTCGGAGTTGATGAATCAATCAGGACAAGTAATTTTAAAATGTAGAAATTAAGAAGAAGATGGCACGATTGCATTAACTTAATTAAAATAAATAATTACTTACCTGTGCACTTTCTACTACCATACATGTACACAGACATTGTCTAATTCCTTCACAGCACAATAACTAACAAACTGCAAAACACCACTTAAAGTTCTCAACTGAATGTTTTTTCCTCATTACTAAATAGACATAATGTTTAACCAATTGTTATAAATATTTGTTTTCAATTTATTAGTCATATAGGAAAATGAACAGACAATGTACTTAAGTTGTACGCCTCCTCGACACTTTCAGTTTTTAAATCTTAAATTCACAGCTTGCTTCTACTTGTACAGGGTATTTTAAGAAGATCAAAAGAACATGAAATAAAAAGACCCTCATGTAGCATCTTCGACACAAAATCTTCAAAACGGCTCCACTGATTTTCATAATATTTTACTACCAGGTAGCTGTCTATATAAGGAGTAACTTAGGCTTTTTTTTCTCTAGGCTCTTTTTTATAAAATTTTGCCCGGTCCGGGAATCGAACCCAAAATGGCAGCGCTTTTCAAATTCCACGCGAACGAAGTCGCGGACACGAGCTAGTAATATATATAATGATGATCAATAAAATCCAGAGTTCTTTTTAATACCTACAAGACATCTGGGTTGGACTGCCTTGTCGGTCTTGTGATTAGTGATGTTGACCGAGCCAGAGGTCGTGGGTTCAATTCCCACCCGGGGCCATCTGATACCAAACGAGACAGAGCCTTTACTAATGGTAACCAGGCTGCTGATAATATATATTTATAATTCTAAAATAACGCGCTTCAAAACAATTCCACAATTTATTTAAAAAGAGGTTTTTTACATTAATTTAACCTACTAGATTACTATACACATACATTACTACCCAATGACAAAGACTTTTACACTTTGTACTTTATTTACTTTATTTACTTTACTCTTTACCTCTTAAAAATGAGCGAGAACACCATGTGCAGTGAAAATAGGATTAAATACATAGAATTACCCGAGGTAAGGTACATAAACTGTTTTATCATTTATGCCAAAACGGAGATAGATTCACATAATATATAACATACATATAGTAAATCTATTGATGAAGCGTTTTTGACATTGAAATTATTTCCAAAGAAAGAAATGGGAGCTTCACACTAGTCGTAAATGATGTGTTTCACATTTGGCAGAACGTACGTTGATTGGACAAATGAAATAGCGCGCGCTCTGTTACACAGTGTTACATATTTCCATCCCTTTTAACAAAATTACTCTCACAGATTGCGTGAAATCGAGAGGTGTTAAACATCAAAATCGTTGCTTTTGTTATGAGTCAACCAAATTGTACCTGTTTTTTTATCATTATCAGCCTATCGCAGTCCACTGCTGGACATAAGCCTCTCCCATTGCACGCCACTTAGATCGATTTTGGGCTTCTCGCATCCAGCTCCTGCCAGCAATCTTGCGCAAATCGTCACTCCACCTGGCCTGTAAGCGTCCTACACTCACGTCCTACACTGTTTTTTTATGACTTTTTCATTTGTGACTATTTTCGTAGAAACCTTTTATGCATAAACATTGCACGCAAATTTGTATAAGATTTAATTTATTTAATTATTAGATTTACCAACATTGAAATTCACTATGTCAACACACATACAACACAGAACACAAACAAGTGATCCAAATAATTACAGGTAGGTAATTACAGCATATACAAAATATAACACTGCTTAAAGACCATAAAAAACTATTTATATTAATATTGTTGCCAAACCTTTTACACTAAAACTAAACCTAGCGATATCTACAACATTGTTCGTCTACGGATGCCGTATTCCCTCATTGTGAGACAGATGCTCAACAAGCGCAGATTGAAATCGACCTTTGTTTCATCTCAATTGGGTCTCTTCTTCTATGGCATAGGAGACAAGCTAGCATTAGGATCGCTTGCTGGTAAGTGGCTACCGCCACTTATAGATCCCTGTACCTACTATTACATGCTGTTGCTATTATTTAACCATAACTCCCATCAGCCTCGGAGTTTTGGGTCTTTATCATCACTCACTCGATGAAATGCCTGACGGGCCTGTTGGTCTAGTGGTTAGTGACCCTGACTGCTTAGCCGGAGCTCGTGGGTTCTCGTAATATCTCATGGTTCTCTGTCTTCAGGAGTTCACAACAGAAATAATGGAAATAATTAGCCGAATTGAACGTCGCGCTGCTGGTGTATTATATTTAAAAAATGGTGAGTTACGAGATAAGTTGGTCATATTGCGGTGACATTTATTTCTAAATTACTTTAATTGTATACTGTTTTAAAATGTATTAGGGGGTAAGCAAGCAGACGTGTCATCTGATGGTAAGTGAATATCACCGCCCTTGGCAGTGGCCGTTTAACCGTAAGGTAAACTAAGCACGTGTCTCAACAAAGAAAAAATATATGCCTAACATAAAAAGAAATGTGTCAGTAAGTATGTAAGTATGTGAACATACTTTCACAATCTAAAAAATTCTTTAACTCTGTAGAGATGTTAAGGTCAATGATGTCAATTTAAGGTTTTATTACGTAATTGCCGTTACTTCTTGTGCCTAACCTTCTCTGATACCTTCGAAGATAGAGGCTAGTACACAAAAAAATAGTTGCTACAACTTCACCTGTAGTTGAGATTACTCTATTAGTTGTAGTAACTCTCTCTCTCTCTCTCTGACCGCCCAGCACAAGGAGCGCCTCTAGTAGCGGACCTCTCCTATAGGATGCAGAGGCGGAAATGAGGGTCGCAAGGCCGCTCGCCGAGCTACGATCACTCGTTGCTCGTCCCGGCTGGAGGCTACAGACTTTGGGGCCATGGAGGCGCTCCAGCCGGTCACCATCGCCTGGGTAGGGTGGCAGCATCCTTTCTGGGCATCACATATAATATGGGCGCTAGAGACACGCGAGAGACGTCAATGAGATTCTGAGAGGCTCTGGAGACTTAATCAGCACATGGACACCTGCTAATCTAGAAACGCAAGTTCGTTGCCACACTTTAGGCCCCACTAACTTTACTTACTTGGTGAGAAACAAGGCAGGGAAGTAAGTACTAGACTTACATTCCCCAATCCAGTCGTATTTTCATTATCCTTTTCCTTCCTTCTTTTCTTATCTACCTTTTCTTTTAATATACTCCTAATTTCTCTATCTACAATCCTAAAGTCCCACACAGTCCCCACACCATAGTAGGCAAAATTTTGTTTTTCTAGTAGGCCTTTTTACAGTGTGGTGGGAGAATGCAATTGCGACTCTCGCTCCCCCGGCCATTGGCAAGCAGGGGAAAACCGGGTTGGTTTATAGTAGGACAGAGTCCGACAGACCCAAACTAATAGGTAATGAAGATTATACAAAACCCGGTTGGGTCGATCTAAATTCCATCAGTGACGGCGTTTACAAACCACTGTCCTTACTAGTGGTTAGAGCAACACAATCCCAAGCAGATTTATCATTGATGTAATCTTTAATAAGATTTGGAAATAAATTGTAAGGGTGCCGTACCTCAAAAGGAAAAAACGGAACCCTGTCCGTCTGTCTGTCTGTCAAGACCCTTTATCTTAGTAACGCGTGGAGGTATCGAGTTGAAATTTAAACCATATACTGAGGTCTATAGTCCCTTTAAGCTATGAAGAAATCAAACTTCTAAATTAATGTTAAAAGAGATAAGGCAGTTTCTGCCGAAAACAAACGCATATTTTGACTCAAAATTCGAAGGGAATCAAAATTTATAGGGTATTTCCCATTGACCTAGAACTTAGTTTTTATTTAAAGTACGCAATTAATCATCAGGTATTTTATCAGTAATTATAGGTTTTAAAAACTGAGTTTCCGGAAAAGCTCCGCAAAAATTGCAAAATGCAAGAAATCCGACTTACACTTGTCCGGTTTTTTTTTTCAATACACTTCGGTTTACGCCTTTGGGAACATTTATATCAGTAATATGTATAGTAGCATATTAAGTATGAAGGGTGTGTATATAATCAAATATATTTTCAAATTCTTGCAGACACATTGGTTATGTATAGAGTTCCGCAAGATATCCAAGTCATTTTGAGCGCGAGGCTACCACAATTGAACAGATCAATGAAGGCGGCGATTCTTGAAATAGTAAGATTGTTTTTTTAAATTACTCTCAAGGTTTAGGTTGTACAGATATGCCTTCTGCACTAATGGGCTGGCTCAGCTGGACTGATTCCAGGTCCTCACTGAACTCCGCTGTTAAGCAGTAATTTGGTTGCTTTTCACCGAGTAAGTGAGGTTAAAGACCGTATTTGAGTTGCAGCTATTCCTGGGCAGCGGTAGTTACTCGTTTGCCCCCTTATACAAGAAAGGTACAACTCATACATGGTTCATGGACACTAAACTTTATCGTGGCAAATCCATGTTTGAGCCCATATGGGCCGGCTCGACTAGAGGTACTATAGTCATCATCAATAGCCTTTAATAGTCCACTGCTGGACATAGGCCTCTCCTTAGAAACGACTTTTTGGCCTACTTTACTGGGAAAACGGTTTGACATAGGGTTTGTTTCAAGTTTTCCTTAGTTCTGTTGTCCGGCGTAGTTTACTCCCTTAGTCGACTCTTACGACACCTACTGAGGTGATGACACTCCGTATTCTTTATACTATTACTATACTACTACCACTACACTACCAGACTCACTTAAAGAAAATTGTTGCAAAAACTGAAAAAACTTACTTCTTTTGGGAGTCGCAGACGAAATTATACTAATCGGCTACTTAATAATAATATGAAGGTTAAAGTTAGGTGTAATAATTAATTAAATAACTTGAAATATTTATTAGATTCCATCCTTCCATAGATATTCGTCACAAAGCTTATGACCGCAGTTTGTCAAGCTTATGTACCTTTTCAAATAAAAAAGAATTTTCCAAATCGGTTTATAAATGACGAAGTACTGAGATAAAAAATACAGTTAAATTGAGAACCCGCTTTCAGAAGTTTCTTTTTTTTTAATTTATATTCTACCACATTTACTAAACCTACATTTACATTTTTCATTTTTATGTGGCTTCACTCTGCATTCTCTATCGCATATATCATGGAGAGTGCTCCGAGGAATTGTTCGGACTAATACCAGCCGCAAATTTCCGCCATCGTTCCACACGGCAAAATTTTCATCCTCATACCCTGACAGTTAGCGCTCCACTACTGTGCGCTTTTCAAGACAGTTTTTCCCCGCACAACCAATCTGTGGAACGGGTTATCGTCTGCGGTATATCCGGACCGATACGACCTTCAAACCTTCAAGAAAAGAGCGTACTCCTTCCTAATCTTCCTAAAAGAGTTGCAGACGTTCATGGGCGGCGATAGTCACTTTCCATCAGGTGACCCGTCTGCTTGTCTGCCCCCTCTAACATAAACAAAAAAAAAAGAAACGCTATCTAGTCCCAAACTAAGCAGAGCTTCTACTATGGGTACTAGACAACAGATATAAATACATTTATACTTTTTTTTTGTTAATACATAAATATTATACATAGAAACACCCAGACCAAATTAAACATTCAATGTTCATGCACACAAATGTTTGACTTGAGCGGGAATTAACCCCGATATTATGAATAGCATTCCGTTACACAAACCACCACGCCATCCGGTCGTCGATTAAAAATATACGTTACTAAGCAGTACGTACAATAATGTACATTCTATTAAACCAACTTGATACGTTTACCTTTTCCAAATAACGAAAATACTAACGTACGATTTCATGGCCAACAGGATGTATTAGATGAGTTAATTAGCTACCGAATCATCACCAAAAAGGACGAGATCTCTGTAGTCACGGGATTGGACTTCACTGCAGTCGCTGTTCATAGGAAAACAAAGTATTTATGGGCATCTAAAAACAAAGAACGTAATTGATAACAATTACCAGAAAGTGTACGCTCATATACCTTACTATTTTCATCTAATCCAGTTGAGATATCGAAACGAAGTCAGAACTGGCATCAATCAAAACTAAAGGTACTTTCTTTAAATACTGACAATGTCATAAACGCTTGAATGATCACCATTTTACTTCCATGATCAGCAGAATTGTGCTTATAACCGTTGGCACTACTACAGACTTTATTGCAAAAAGTTTTTTTACGAATAATTGTGATATATCATACTAAGAACTAAACCAATTTTGTTCACTTTGAGTCCGTTCCCCGTTGCACCTTTGCTATGTTTACAGTTTATGTGCTTTTAGAATTTAATATTATTACTTGCTTTACGGGTAAATAAACCAGTTGAAATCTGTAACCTTGTTGACGTGGTGGAAAATCTTGGTAACGCCATCGTGGCAATGCAGGAGCCAGGAGTATGTAGTATTTCCAGTAAAAACCATCCCGACGGTCTGCCTTAGTCACCCTACTCAGGGAAAGACCTGGATCATGTGATCAAGTCCCCCGAACCGACGCCGTGCCTAAACAGGGTCAGCAGCCTCTCCAATCATAGGACGAATATGCCAGTAAGTGACTCTGGCCTCTTCGTGCTGTTGCACTATTAATTACGTCTCTCTATTATTCCCTAGCACCAAGGTAAAAAAACAATGTAGGGTACTGAAAGCAATTACACTTTCAATAAGGTTTGGCAATCAGTTGGCGGCCTGCCATAACAGAACTGAACTAAATTACCAAGCCTCGCGTTTTGCCAATAGTTTTATTCAGATAATGATCGTTTTATTAATTTTATAGATGGTTAGATATGGACTCGACAGGATTTTTATCAATACATGATTTTGTAAAAAAAAATCAAGGCAGTAGATATGGGTTGACAACACCTGTATCTATTCTGACCCAGTTTTGGCCTCAATTTTGATATAAATGCGATCGCAGCACCTCATTTATTACTAAGTCACAGGAAATAAATTAATGACATCAGCAGTTGTCAAATCTATGTTTATTCTAAGCTTTCACGTACACTAATTACGTTTCGTATTTATGAAACGAACTTAAGTCGCTTAATGACTTTCACAACCCATTAATAATATTAACGTCAACGTTTTACGGGAAAAATGATTAATAAAATAATTCAAAATATAATTTGAAAGTCAAAGTAAGGTACTTTGTAGAATTCTAGCATATCCAAATGAAAAAATATTATTATTATTTGTACGTAGTTTTTTATTATTATTTTCAATATTGTTAGATTGTTAGAAAAGCGCTCTAAAAACAGACGATACTAATGGGTGAGAAACAATCGATCGATTTAGTATTCTTTGAGAAACACTATAATTAATCAATGTTTTATGAAAATTTTAGAATATGGATGTTACTGTGTAACAAACTTAATGAATTTTAAGATTAGCTGACAAAGGTTAAAATTCAAAGCTTTCGTGTCTATTTTTCCAACTTTTACATGTCCCTGTGTTAAACCTGGACTTTTTCGGAGTGTGTGATAGCAAATCATTCCGGACTTTTATCAATAAGTCTTGGTAAATTTAGGGATTTCCTGGCTAATATTAAGATGAACCGTAGTTCGGACATTTAGAACAAAACTAATCAGAGTTAGTACTAAGGGTTTTAAAACACCTATAAACATATTTAAATACTTTTCGCATTTTAAAAGTAAATACCTAATATGTCCCTACTCACATTTATTAATGTTATTCTTAGAAGCTTTTATTTTCAGATCTGTCATCTTACACACTAATATGAAAGTAATGACCAATTTATTGAAAGACGCGCTAGATGAGCATCTCGTCAGAACAGTAAGTAGATACAACGTGTTTAAATGTTCAGACAAGATAGAAATAGAGTAGTAGATAGAAGTACATAGGAGACCCACCTAGTACCCATCGACCAGAATGTTAAAACTGCCTCACAGAAAACCGGCGTTAAGTTTTGCGCGAGTTGACAGTATGTTTACAAATTTGAAAAACCTATTTAATTAATAATATCTATTGATAGGATGCCTAAAATAATAAAAATTATGGTTATTAAAATAATTAATATATATTTGTTTACTTAACTACTGAACTAGTCATCAGTTTCTGGTTGCTTATGAAATTTCCTTGCCCATTGGGGCATAATAAAGAATATGGACGCGAAAGAAGCTTTTAGCAGAAGACAGTAAAAATATATTTGTATCTTTAGAACACTTCATTACAAGCACGTCGAATCTGTAAATGATAAGTTCACAATTCTGATATTATTTTTACAGACAGCTGCAATTAACACATCCAACCCAATTGTGGATAGGATAATGGACGACGATTCGGTCGAAGGAGTTATAATGACAAACAAGGAAGGTATCTTACTATTTTATCCATGTAGGACCTTTTTTTTTTCCGTGCGGAAATCCCCTCAGATACCACCTATCGGTGGCATGTCGGACTCGAACCGACTAAAACCGCACGCCGTCTCGGGTACTAATAGCCGGGGAACCAGTTATACCCTAGAAAAGAAGTCCCTGGTGCCCCGACATACCTCGGGCCATCTACAGACGAGTAGACGACCCCCCCCCCCCCCCGTGTGGGAACCCCATGTTCCCTCTGCTCCCTGGAAGCGAGCGCGCTTCGCAACGCGCTCGCCGCCTCCCCGGCCTGCTTCTGCTAGGACTAGAGGACGAAGGTCGTTCTGCAACCTCGGGCGCCAGAGTCGCCTGCGGTACCTGGCCCGTTCCCGGGCCTGGCGGGCCGGGAGAGTTCTAAACCTCTCCGCCGTCTCCTTCGCTAGCATAACTTGCTCGCAGAAGGAGACGGCTATCCATGTAGGGCCTGCTATATTTGCATACATATTTGCACGTGACGATAAAACACAGCTTTAAAAAGGATAGTTTTAACTACCATACTTTAAAAGACATTTTGACATACGTTTCTTCCTATTAGGTTTTTGAAATCTTGGTCCTTTAGTAATAACTTTATTCAAAAGCTACTGCATGTCGCTACTGCTACTGCTACAGCTACAGCGCTGGCTCTGATTACAAATTAAATACATATTTATAGCGTTAATTCCTTTATTAATACTCTTTTTAAAGTAGTATTAAATCTATGTCTCATAGTATTATTTTAGTATAATGATTTCAACCGAGAAAGGGAGGAGGTATAACTGAGCTTGATATATAGCTATACATGGTGAAAACAATAGCCTGTCTGATGTATATATGGTTCGTCTTTGATATTCGTTCCAAGGAGTATGGATATCAAAGAGAATGTAAGTTCGACTAGTATTAATATTAATGATCTATTTGTCACAGGGGCGCCGATATTGACGAACGTAAGCGTCACGCATGCTACACTGTACGCAAGACATTTACACAAATATGGCGTAATGTCTATGACTTACATGACGGAATTGGTGAGATTCTTTGTGGTTAATGATAACTAGTGGCCGGTCAGCGGATGAACTCCGAGCTTATCGCTTAATAGCGTTTTTTTTCATTTTTATTATTTACCATAAAAACATTAACAAGGAAATAATATGAATTACAATTCCAAAAGAGATTGTGGTGGGTTGACACCTTTTTTTCCCCTCGGATATCACCCACCGGTGGGGCGATTATGTCGGACTCAAACCAACCAAAAACCGCACGGCATCTCGGATACCAGTAGCCGGTGAACCAGGTGTACCCTAGAAAGGAAATGCCTGGTACCCCAACGTACCTCGGGCCATCCACGGCGTGTAGATGACCCCCTCCTGTGTGGGAACCCCTATGTTCCCTTTGTACTCTCAAAGGGCGCGCGCTCGGCAGCGCGTCTCGTCCACTCCAGCCTGCTTCTGCTAGGATGACAGATGGCCTCACCTGTCACCGACAGGCCTGCGCTTATGAAGGATCCGTCCTCAACTTCGTCATCATCATCTCGTCCGTCGTCCTTTAACGGTGTGAGGTCGTTCTGCGACCTCCGGCGCCCGTGTCGTCTGCGGTACCTGCCCCGTTCCCGGGCCTGACGAGCCGGAAGAGTTCTAAACCTCTCCCGGTCCCGCTCCGCCATCTCCTTTACAAGCATAACTTGCTCGCAGAAGGAGACGGCGAAGTTTCACGCACTCTCGCTCCATACACTGGCGGCAATCATACTACCGAGCGAGAGGACTCCCACTCCTATGGCCACCACGAGGGTACGCCTCTGCTCCACCCACGCCGGGCATTCTGCCAACGTGTGGAAGGCGATGATGGCGTGCCCGGCGCTCGGTTGCACGAGTCTTTCAATCCACTCCCCTATGATGGCCTGGCGGAGTTGGGATTTCCGGTCATCGATTTCTCGAATCTCGTGGTGCCCCCTTATGATCCTGATGGCCAGCACTCGCTGCGGTCGTCGCAGTATCTGTACCCCGCTAACAGCTCCGCCTCTCTCACTGCCGCATCCTCAGGGCGGCGACACCTCCTGCAGAACCTGGACCACCGGCGGCGCGCGATCCCGCAGGCTTGACACAGCCGTGCGATCTCCGGCGACCACTAATAGACCTGGCGCCTCGCAGTATTGGGCTGAGCCCTAGGCATCGCCGCATCACAGACGCGGGTCATGGCCTCCCGGAACCACTGTGCCTCAGCAACGACGTCGACAGGCCTATCCGGCGCAGGGGCCTAGGCCTGTACGATGGCGGCTTCCAGGAGGAGGTCGCGATCTAAGCGCTTGAGCGCCCAACGTGGTTCAGGTGGTGCCGGTCTGACCGGCGCGCCATCTGTAGGGGCAGAGACGTCAAACCGAATATATCGGTTATCCGAACCTGTCTCCTCCCCGAGCTTCCACTCTCCCTAACTTTAGGGAGGGCAGTCACTTGAGTTTCAGATCATTTGATAGTAACTTACTACCGCCACCGTAACAGTAATCACTTACTATAAAGCATAGAAGACAAACTCATTTCTGAAAAAAAAAACTTACCAACAAACCCTAAATTATAGAATTTCTCGAGTGATAATGCCGCCCTTCGTACATTATTATTGGTCTACATTTTATACTTAACAATACCTGTAAAAACAATAGTGTATAAATAAAGTATTATCTGTCTATCATAGGTAAACTACTTTTTAAACGAAAAACAAAATTAAAATCGGTCCATTCGCGTCAAACGACAGAGAGAATCACAATCATACTCACTCATCTCCATACTTGTAATAAATGGACATAAATTATAGCGTTCTATAGTCATTATATATAAAACCTTTTTCGAACATAATAAACTAATTGAATAAATTCTTTTTACAGGATCCTCTAGATGAGATATTGGTGATTAGAATGCAAACGAAAAAAAACGAATTGATTCTGACCCCGCACCGCGACTTTCTCATTATAATTATACAACATTCGCGTAAAAATACGAAAGTTACAAATGTTTCTAAAAGATAATATTAATTTATACAATATGTTAAATAAATATATTTTAATATTAAATCGTTAATTTAACTTACAGACTAAAGATTGAATCTGAACTATATACATTCAGCCTTAAAGCAAGGATTACCAAAGTGGTCGATTACGAACCCCTTGGGGTCGAAATCGGTTTCCCACTGGTCGACGAGGTCTAAAAATCGACCCCTATTTATTAACACAGTTCCTATTTCAAACTTTCAAGCTAGTGTAAAATGTGTGTAAGCTGTGTTACGTGTACCAGCTTGTAATAAGACTGACTAATATGTCGAATTTATTTTGTTAAATTTTGATGAGAATGTTAATTTACCATCAGGTGACCCTACTGCGCGATAAATAAAAATGATGTTAAGTTTATTCACTTAACCAACGACAAAGTTTTAAAAATTGTTATGTATTTAAATCAATTGGAAAAAAAAAACGAGATAGGATTTTTAAAGTAAATTTTGGAAAAGGGGTATCTTGCCCAAAATAGTTTGGGAAAATTGGGATGATTCTTGTTCTCTCTTCTTCTGATCTTTTTTTTGTTGACCCAATTTTGCAATAATATCGCAATGACGCTCGAAAATCCTAATTTTTTTCTCCCAAAAATCGTTACGGTCAATTTTGACATTACCTTGTAGTGACAGAAATATTTAAGCCAATGTAAATTTATCCTGGGAAACCCCAGCGCCTCCTTTATCGGACGCGTTTTTACGGACACTTTTCATACACACACACAAAATGGTTCTAATTGCCTCTACCCTCGATGATTCGTATCAGCGATAACAGGTGATAACTGTAGTTTTACCATATCAAATTGTAGCCCGCTTTAAAAAGAAACTCAAAGTGATAATATATCTATATTTGTTTGAACAAGGTTTAATATGTTGGTTGATAGGCCTTTGTGGTTGTTAAACCTTTATTCCACTAGGCCGCCGAAATACCCTTTGTCCAGGAGTACAGCGTCTAACACCTTGGTTCCAAGAACAAAACTGAAATATTATTTGATTATTTGATTCTTTAATTAAAATTAAAATACGGAAAACAGGCTTGGTATACTACTGTTGACTGTCCTGTTCTGCTAGTGGTTAGCGTTCCTGATAGCTAAGGCAGAAGACTAGGGTTCGATTCCACACCCGGGACAAATAACTGTGTGATAAGCACTAAAAGGGATGGAAGTGTGTAACACTAATCCGAGAAACCGTGGTGTAATTATTGAGTCATTGGTGCTAATTCTGTTGTTGATGTCGCTAAACTAAAATTTCTCTAAAATTCTCATGTTAGTGTAGTGATTTCCAAAATGCTGTTCTGTTGTCCATGCAAAGCTACTGACACTTCTCCTCTGCCATCTCAAATGAATTAAAGTTGTCTTGAAAATGTTCAGAGCGCATTTCATAGTTTCTAAAAATACTTTAATGATCCAGATATGAAAATAATATAATTGTGACTTATGATGAAGAATATTATGCAAATACCTTTCCGCTGAACTGACCAGAGGCAAAACATGTAATCGCTATTAATCATTAAGAAAAATTAGTGAGTTATTTGTAATTTTATATCTTTGAAACAAATGACCAATTATGGACTAAATTAAGTAACTTAACTAATTTTGGTTATGTAACTATAAATAGTTGTCCTACGTTTTCAGAATACCAAACGTTGTTTGACAGGACCAAACTAATTTTGAGTGTTTTTTAGATTCTAGTCCAGTTCAACCCAAAAAAGACACAGGTCTGTGCGTTCACCGCAAAAAAAATACCATTTGTCGTATCGCCACAGTTTGAGAGCACCTCCCTAACTGCCTCAGCCAGCATCGGAATTCTAGGCATTGACATATCAAGCCAAATCCAATTTCGGGGTATGTAGAGGGTAAGGTCAAATTGACCTCGAAGAAGCTCGGTGTGCTGAACAGATCGAGGCAATATTTCACTCCGTCCCACCGCCTTCAGGCGCAAGTCCAGGCGCCTATGGAATACTGTTCTCATCCCTATGCAGGCGCACCTCAGTACCAGCTTCTCCCTCTGGACCGCATCAACGAAGAGGGACTCGAATCGTCGATAGATCAAACATCTCCGATCGGCTCGATCCCTTGGCGTTACGTAGAGATGTGGCTTCACTCTGCATTCTCTATCGCATATACCATGAAGAGTGCTCCGAGGAATTGTTCGGACTAATACCACTCGCAACTTTCCGCCATCGTTCCACACGGCAAAATGTTCATACTCATTACCTGGATAGTTGGCGCTATAGGTACCACCGTGCGCTTTTCGAGACACTTTTTGCCCCTCACAACCAATCTGTGGAACGGGTTATCGTCTGCGGTATTTCCGGACAGATACGACCTTCAAACCTTCAAGAAAAGAGCGTACTCCTTCCTAAAAGGCCGGCAACGCGTTTGTGACTCCTGAGTTGCTGGTGGTCACTTTCCATCAGGTGACCCGTCTGCTCGTCTGCCCCCTCTAACATAAAAAAAAGTTTAGTTTAAAGAGTTTTCGAACAATAGAATACGCGGTGCTAAAGTTGAATATCGGTTGATACGTGAGGTGCTAGATGTTACACATCATATGAACTGGTTTAGCAACTTTTTTTAACACGCCTTTATTAGCTTGGTATGTATGTAACGGAACTTTGAACGTGATTTTGACCCTCTTTAAAAATTATTTAAATTATATTAAAACTTTGCATACTTATTAAGGACCGATAACAACGCAATAATTTAAATAGTTTCTCTTGATCAGTACCTTCAGGATTAACGGTTTTTCCATACCTAAAAATACGGTAGTCTTATTTGCCATGTACAAAGGCACGTTATGAAGCATATGTAAAAAACTTACTTGTTACTTTTTAGTCTCAATAGGATAAGATCATCATTAATGACTGAAAAGGCTGAAAAGAAAAATTATAGTTAAAAAAACAAGCTTTTGTAGCTAGCTGAACTAAAAAGTAGGCAATCATTTTAAAGTTCAAAAAGAAAAACGATTTTATCTAATAGAGGGGTACTTTTCATGGTATTTTGTTTACCAATATCTGTCAGTAAAATAATTTTACAATGATTGAGATCTATCACCTTTATGTATTAGCTGTAATATAGATACAATTGTAACTAATGTGTAATGGACTTTACGGGCAATAAAAACGTAACTCCCGTAGAAATAGGATACTTACTTATCATAAAAAGCATCAGTTTTCAAAATTGTTGTTGTTTTGTCAGTGCCGTCAGCTACGCGCCCTCACCACTCTCTACACAATTCTCAACCCACCCATTTCCCCTTCCTACCTGACATCTTCATTCCAATTTCTGTGTTCCAACCACGATAGAACCCTCCGTTCATCAAACAATCCTCTTCTGCTATGCTCCACTCATACTTCCGCTTGTGTTCACTCCTCGTTCCTAATCCAATCCGAACTCCTCTGGAACGCTCTCCCTCTAGAAATCAGGATAGCACCCAGCCGCCTCTCGCTTAAAATGAAAGTTCGAGCTCGCATTCTGGACACCCTAGCAGATTCATTACAACCTTAAAGTTTTATATATCATTAATAAGTAGGTTTATGTATGTATGTAACTAGATAAGTATTTCTGTATGTGTATGTATTGTACGTATGTATGTAAGTATATTTATCGCATTGTTTCTGTCTAACTTTTCAATAATTTTCTTTTACTTTACATATCAATCTCTAGTGCACCTAGTCACTCATTTCAGGTCAGTCACACACCACACTAAGGTAGACAGGGACAAAATGCCTGTAGCATTAAGACCGCCATTGTTCAACTCATATCTACATGTGCAAAGAAGAATTTAAATAAATAAAAAATATAAAATTTAAGTTTGTAGCACCAGCGCTTTAGACTCTGCGTTGATTAATCATTGAGTCTGTGAGGGCAAGTAATGTAAAGGTAGATTTTCGTGACACCATGCCCTCAATGACATAGTCCGAAGGGCTCTTATATCCGCTTATGTACCCTGCGTGCTGGACCCACCGGGTCTCAACAGAGCTAACAGGAAGCGGCCAGACGACTTTGCTGCCGTGGAAATTAGGCAAGTGCTTGATGTGGGACGCTACATTCGTTTGCACAGTCTCATATCTGAGTCTCACCGTCCACGCTTCGTAGTAGGAAGCGATTACAATACGATTAATAAAATTATTTTGTGCCCATTGCGGTGGACACTAGGCAGTTAAAGGTCGGAAGCGAAAAATTTAATTGCGGAGATTGGTCGCCGAATTAGGGATAAAGGTGGTGACTCCCGCTCTAGCTCGTTCCTGGTGAAAAGGATGTCCGTTGCAATCCAGCGAGGCAATGCTGCCAGTATCATGGTGCCCTTTACACCTTAATTGTATGTATTCGTGAACATAATAATATAATAAATAAAAGTAACGAATAAAAAAATGTACTTATATAATAAAAGCTAAATAGCCCAAAATACAATCTTAAAATAAACATTAAATCTCTGACTCGTCATATATTTGCATTGACATTGAGTAATGTATGGTAGAAATAATATACTCTTGAGTTTATCTGTAGTTAATAAACCTTGACTATGGAACCATTTATTGGTTATTCAATAAATGGTTTCATAGTCAAGGTTGATTGTATTTTATGTGAAATACGTAAATATTAGGTCACTTGAACAAATAAATAAATATTTGGGCCATCTAACTCGCAACGCCATCTAGTTTCAAGCTAAGCAGAGATTATACTATGAAAGCTAGATTGACTGATAAAATACTTATAACTGATAATATACTTTCAAACTTAAATATTATATTTTTAATGTTTTATTATTTATTTTTTCGGAAATATGACACACAACACCATCTATTTTTTTTTTGTAAATACATTATACATAGAAAACACCCACACTCCGAAACAAATATTTGCAGTTCATACAAACATTTGGTTTGACCCGGGAATCGAACCTGAGGCCTCAGTACAGCAGTCGTAAGCGCTAAGTACAGCAGTCGTAAACGCTACCTACTGCACCAACGAGACAGTCAAA